TACTTCGCGCCTCTTGAACGAGTCCCACGACTTCATTAAGTTTCCCCATTATTTTATGTAATTTTTTTTCGAAGCTCGGTTCTGAAATATAAAAAACATTTTGTTAATATGTATCCATAAAATAGGAAATATAAATTTACTTACGAGCTGCTGAAAATGTACTGCGCATCAAATTTTTGTTTTCTGAGTCCATTCTGCTTAAAAGAACAAAAATTTTACATTTCGTTATTTTGCAAAAAACTCGAATTGAACATTTTTTTTGACAGTTATGTAGCATAGGCAATAAAACTAACTCTCCTAAATATGGAATGACAACTGCTTCTTCACAATCGTGTGGTTCCGGGTCTACTAAATATATTCCTATATCTGAGGAATCGATGGCTATGTAAAAAAAACTCCTAATATTCCTAAGTCGCCTACCTCTAAATGCTCCCCCAGAATCGGATATAATCGACATAATTTGAATTGGCTTACTGCCTGTAACAAAACAAAAAATATGACCCAACTCTGATGCAAACCTTTCCTAAAATTCATTGCAACAATTTGCTTTACCCTTGCCCAAAAAAATAACTATTGGTAGAATTGGAGCATTTTCAATGTTATTTATTCGAATAAGGATTGGGCAAAGGTGCGCTTTAGAACTTTTGAAAAGGGTAAAACCATCAATGTTGATATCAATATTTAGCAAATTATACAAATCTATAGAATCTTTCTATTTGATTCGCTAAACAAATATGGATTTAAGAGCCACCTGCAATTTGTGATATTTCTGCTTCTTTTCCCTCAGTGTATTTATAAAATTAATTAACCTCATTATCATGTTTTTTAAAACGCGTATTAAATCTACCGCACGTTGCCGTGTTGGCCTATGACTATTATAAACCACTTTTTTAAATCACTATTTAAATCTATTCTGAAACTGCACATTTTCTTGCATTTCTATTTCTTGATTAAACACTTCGCAATTGTCGCAATCATTTTCTGCACATTTAATTTATTATTAAGTGTGTTTTATACCCTGTATTCTTTAGCCTATACTCGTGCCTTTTGTTGTACACATTTTATTTATTTATTTGTAATTAAATGCTTTGTACTTACCTGCGGTATGTTGTAATTTTATTTATTAATCACAAACTCAAACACTTCGAACGCGCGTCTTCGTAAGGCAACACTAAAGTAAGCTTCACCGCTTAGAGCAAAGCAAACTGAACGAATTAGAAGCAATGCAAAAGCAGCATCGAGAAGAACGTGCTGCACTTGCTTAATATTTGTTGGTGCATTTTGACGCCCGAAAAATGTAACGGCACTTGCCTAATATTTGTTTGTGTTTCTTGACGAAAGAACAAAGCGCACGAGCATCAAATCGTTTCTTTATCACTGTTTCATTGCCCTTTCTTCGGGCAACTACAGTGTAACCAAGAATTATTCGTGCACTCTTTACTTTTGACTTTAATGGTAACTGGTGACTGTTAACAGGAAGTTATAGCCATACGCATACATATGTATATAATCTCAGGCCAAGCACTGCCCGCAGCTGTTGTTGTTGTTGCTGCTTTGTACAGGCACACGACAAACACACACACACGCACAAACATGCATAGACATGCATAGAGATGCATAGAGATGCATAAACACACACACTATGTTAGTGTGCAGTTATAAACCCTTTACGTGAGTTCGAATACAAAAAGAGGTAAAATCGATCAAAATTCTTTTTGAATCTTAATTTTTTTAAAATTCTATAAATATGTATGTACAGAGTATTTCATAGTCGGGACACCCGACTTTAGCTTCCTTAGTTGTTAATTATGTCAACAGTAAATATAAAAATATAAATAAAATTGAATCAGACTAAATATATTCGTACTAGAGAAGCTCTGGCTAAGCTTCATGTGATCACCAACTCTTTGTAACGCCATTTTGAATAATTAAATTTAAACCAACGCTTAAGCTTAACATTTAATACATAGTGAGATCAATTTACAATTAGTCGGTACTTCCGAACTAATATAAACCGTTTCTGGCTGTCACCGCAAAAATGTTTTTACGACATTCAAGTAGCGATATTTGTGCTTCGTAATGTTAGTTGTACTACCGAAGACTTATTAATTTTAAGCCCGGCTCTGTAGGAGAGCGTTAGAGAAACGTTTAGCAGTCGATATTTGGAAGGATTTCCCTTTACCTAATTTAGAGTCGAAATTTCCACAACGACCACAGATGTGTACAAATTTAAGCCCACTATTAAGACAATCTTCTTTAGATACAATTTCAATGATTATATTAAATTGTGTTCCCACAATTACACATTAAAACAATCAGTAAATGGCTAAGACCGCAGAGTTTTAACAAATAACATTTTTGCTTTTAAACTTGGAATTTTATTACGGTTGCAATTCTTTTTCCTATATACATATGTTTGTATATTATTGATAAGGTCTGGTGCCTTGGCTAGGCCTTGGTAATTCAAATGTGTGTTAACATAATAGCGGCTCTTTTTGGTTTATTTTTTACGGAAAAAACACGCATACATGTGATTATGAACTCTATAGATAACAGGCTAGACATATTAACGAATTGTGTGAGAATTGAAATTGTGTCTATTTGACAAAAAGATATCATATAGATTGTATTGAAGAACTGTGACATTTTAAAATTGTAATTGCTGAAAACAAATACGAGCGTGAGTATACGTAAGAACTCGTTTTTGTTTACAAATGGCTAATAATTCGAATTTTTAAGCAGCTTTGTTGAATACTAATACTCGATGTTGTTTAGAAATTATTAAAAATCAGTATGTTTAAGCCGCATTGTTGAATACTTATACTCGTTGCTATTTAGAAATGATTAAAAACCAGTACTTTAAGCTGTATTGTTAATTGCCTATAGCCATAATTAAGCTTTTTTACGATTATACACCCATGCCATTTGCCATTTGTTACACGTTTTAAAGTCCAATTTTATTGTAATTAGCAAGTGCATTCGAGTGCAAGCTGTATGGATTTTGTTCGAATGCTTATCGTCTGATTTGGAGGCACATATGTACATAAGTAACGCATAATCATTCATAAATAGTACAACAATGTAAGTCAATCGTTATCTCAGTGTCGCTCATAAAATATTCTTATCAGTAGTGCAAATGTACTCTACATTTCAGATTGTAAGTATGTATATATAGTAGAAATCAAATATTCAAATAATTTAATATGCTCGTGTATCAATAATTGAATGTCATATGCCGTGTAACTCTACGCAATTGTGATCTATATTTAGAATCTATCTTGATTGGTCTTGAGGTTGAGGTTGCCCTCTGGGTTCACGACCCTCGACTCATTTTAGCATGAAGTCTCAGCTTTGATTTGGCCAATCAGCAACTTGTCAATTTTTCAATTGAAATTACAATGATTTGATTTCACTAATTTCATTCGGTAGCAATCGCGAGTCGCCTACCTTACTCACTGCCTCTTCTATGCTTCTAAAGTACAAAGTAATTTCTTTGTTAGATAAGCTAACCTGTACATATCAGTTGGAACTACTTGAAATCAAGCTAATAATAATGACAAACTGTGGCTAGATTCTGGCCTGATATGATAATGAATAAACCCGTTTCGACACTACCTCACACATGGCTTGGGGAAAAGGGAAGAAGTTTGAAGTTTGGCTCGATTTGGTGTACAAAGGGTAAAGCCTTATTAACATACTCAATATTTATACATATACATAGATATGTATTTGCATATGAAAGTGATTATGAAAGGCGCTCGGCAGACGTTTATTATTGCTATTAATATACAAAAACAAATACAAGTAGTCATTTTAGTTATGCTACTAATCTTCTATGGCAATTTCCATAACTATTCTGAGTTTCTTTTAAAACTTTCGAATTTTTTAGTGAACTTCTGTTGCTCCGAAAACGTAAATTATAATTGAAAACCACATTGATGAACTGAATCGAGAATGTTTGAGATGGCGTCCGATTATTGATATCAATTTTCAGCAGAAGCATAAATGAAAGAAGAACCAAATATGAATAGTATAAACAAAACAATGTTAGTTTTTATAAGAATCAATTAATTGGGAACTAAACCTATTCCACGTGCTTTGTAATATTATTTTATTTATTTTTATAAAGAACCTCATTTATTACTAATAAAAGGACGGCTCCTATCTTCGCTGCCAAAAATGCAATTAACTTTCCGCTCATGCCACGGATTTTATGGGTTAACCTTTCGTAAATGTTTGTCACTTTTTATGAAACATTTGATCCAGATGTAAAGATAAATTGCAAATTACCGCTGGGACAACCTTCTTAATGGATTGTGTTTTCTTCTTAATATACGTGTACGGTATATGTTGGTACTACTATATGATTTTTTATTAAAAAGCAGTTTTTTATATGGTATAAAAACAATTTAAAAAGTATTTTAATACACAAGATTTCTCAAATACCTATTTAAGCATAAAGAGTTTTCCCCCTAACAATAGTTCTGTAGTGTAGTGTAATTATTTGCTAGGAATAAATTTGCATTATATTGGCATTAATTGTTTTATGTTTTTCCCAAGATGGGCTGACATAAAACCAACACAACAGTAATAATGGCATTTCCTTAAACACACCCTGGCACGAGAATTACATATTAGGGATGAATTTGTTTTTATGCATTACAAAAAGTTTCCATGCCAATTACGAAAACGTAATAGCTCGTAACACATGGGGAGGCACTGAAGCTCAACTAATATCGAGTGGGTATGCATGCATAATTAGGCTAAACCATTGCCAAAGTCCAAAGCCGAAAACTGAATTGGATTGTTATCAAACCCAAAATCACAGGCATGGCACGCACGAGAGCGTGACACATACGCTGGACATGGTAACACCTACAAAAAAAACCTAAACCAAAACCAACAAAAACAGTGGGTGGTAATAACAGACATCAGTTCAGTAAGAGCCCGAACCATTAACTAGAGTTTTGCAGTAATTTATGGGCGATTATAAAACTTACCCCTTTTGAAAAATCCAGTTTTGACTTCAAAGCTACCATTTTCGAATTCAATGTCAATTTTCTTGATCGTTTTGTACTGTTCGTGGGGGAAAACTGAGCCGGTGGTGCTGGTATTGTTACTGCCTTCGCCACCGCCCCCGCCACCACTCCAACTAGCACTACCGCTGCCGCTTAATGGCGATGCAGGTGTCGCCCCCAAGGGCGTAGCATAGGCCGATGTGGATGAAGCTGCTGATAATGCGCTGTTCTCAGTTTCAGCAAGCGGCGCTTCATGCACTCTCTTCGATGCCGTTGCTGTTGTTGTTTTTGAATTAATGTGCAATGTTAAGTGGGCGGGTCGTTTTGAGGCCAATTTACGAAAAGGCACGGGCGTTGTTGGACGGGGCGAGTGCGGCTGTTGTACTGCTGTTGTTGTTCCTGATTTTTTATTTGATGTTTTTGCTGCGGTGTTAATGTCCGTGTCGGACGCCGATTTCAGATAGCTGAGCGCAATGACGTCACGCGCCGTTCCAGTAGCACCCGTTACATTGGGTGAGACAGCACTTGCTAAGCTCCAACTGGACATATTGGTGGCGTGTATATGTATGGCGTGTATGGATGTATGTATGTACTCTTTTAGTTTTTTGTTGTTGTTATAATTGGTTTATAATTTTGCAATTTTAAGTTATTGCTTGACAGTCATCACTTATCATTTCTTTAAGTTGCGGGTTTAATTTTAATTACTATTATTTTACAATACACAAGTGCCAGAAAGCCGGCTGTCACATCTAATTTGCATAACTTGTTCTCTTTGTTCGTTTGTTTTACAACCACTGTGACCTGTTGTTGTTATTATGTCGTCAGTTGAGGAGGTCTCTCGACGTTTGCGGCTGTATGGGGTGCGGCAGAGGCCGTTAAATTAAAATAAATAATTACGTACACACTCTCAAACACACATGCACACACACACAGCAAACGAAAACAGATGATGTTTGTATATGTAACTATCTGGGTATACGTGAGCACGTAAGTTTTTCTGTGTTGGTTGCTGTCTTATTTTTGTTGTTATTTTTTGTTTATTTCATTTTGTATTTCTTATGCCTATTAACATTTGCATATGTATGAGTAAGGAACGCGCTCTCTTTATATGTCGCGTTGTGTGGGTCGCAAGTTGAGCGAGTTCATTCGCTTTTTAAATAACTGACAGTTATACATATGTATGTACATACATATAAACCGAGCGTTAAAGAGGCGAGCAGGGTGTTTGTCACCAGATAGATAGAAGGGCAGCAATGTGCCTTTTAATAAAAAGTCGAACGGCGTCGACGCCAGCGCCAACGCCGACGCCACCGTTATTGCGGTCGTGTGGGGCTCTCCTGCTGCTTGCTTGCTAATCAGAACTTGCCCCAAAACAAAAAGAATGAAAATAGCACAACACAGACATAAACACACTAACATTAAGGCATCAGCGCATGAGCGCGAAACTAGTTTACTTGCTCTTATCGTTTCAGCTGCAATAGTAGAAATGCATGTATGTATGTATGTATGTGTGGATGCAGCCGCACGTTGACCAGACAATTATGAATGCTTAGTGTGTATTTTTTCGAATTTAGCATCATTCAATCAAGTGTGCAAATTTTAACACACACGTGTTGCTTTTGTTATTGCTGCTGATGAGAAATACTCGAAGTGGAATGAATGAGAGAACCTAAGTACAGGTCGACAAACTAATGCGCTATAAATGCGCACTTACGCAGTTATGCACAAAAAACCACAGCATTCATTCACTCTAAGCAACATTTTCTAGAGTATGGCAAGATGTTGCCAGAGCATTTCAACTTTCGCTTTTACACATGTGTTGCAAACAATCCTATTTAACAGCAGCTGTTGCCTTTGCGTAAACAAAACTCAAAGTCTTCAGTGTGCAGCGCATTTGAAATGCACTTAACACTTTGCATTTACATATATTATACATATGTATGTATATGCATATATTTTCTTTACACATGTAAGTTCATATGTATTTACATACATACTCGTATGTACATACATATGTTTCTTGACTTATGCATATTGTTGTGTACGTCTTTGTTTGCCATTTAAGCAAGCGTTCCGAGCTATGACGCATTAATTTTGTACGTGTTTTGTTATTGTTTTGATTTGCTGCTGCTCTTACTTCAATTGGCTTTGTCTTGAGAAGACTATCATTTTAATTTTAATTATTGTTAATTGTGTTTTATGGCACTCTAATTTATCTCCGTCTCGCAGACACACACGCACTTTCGTTCTTTAAATTTTTTCATGTATTTGTTTGCGGGGATCGACCGTGCATGGCCTACAGCGGCCAAAACGAAAACGTTGTGCAGCGCCAAAAGTTTAAACAAATACTAAATACAATACAAACAAGTAAGACATTTTAAGCACACATTTATGTACATATGTATGTTTGTATGTATGTGTATTCGTGTGTGATGGAGTGTGTGCGCCTCTTTTTTTTTACCGCAGTCACTATAGGCCTTCTAATAGTAACTAAAATATAAAGCAATATATCAAATTCTAATGCCTTCACGCGTGGTTTTTGTTGTTGTTGTTTCTCTTTGGCCTGCTTATCGCTTGCGCTCAGCTACTGCTACTAAGTAGAGCAAAGGCAAAGCACAAAATGTTTTTAATTGGTCAAAAGTATCTGATTAGCAACGACGAGTGCCCCTCTGTTCAGTTGTAATGCTGTTGCTGATATGACACTTGATTGCTATCAACACAGAAACACACAAACTCGCAAAGAATTTGTTAAATGATTATTTTTTTTTGCTGTAAGTATAAGATTGCCTATGCATGTGTGTTTGGTTCTTTTTTTTTCATTCATTTAATTCACATTACCACCACGCGTCGGAGTCTAATGCTTGAGTTTATTGTTTATCTTTAACAAATTGTATTGTTGGTGTTGCCCTGTGCGCCTGCCTATTGCGTTTTTGAACTTGGCGAGACTAACGACGAGACCGAGCGAGCAACACGTTCCGTTCCGTTACGGCGACCACGACGACAACGATCCTCAACGTTCGCTGTCATGGCACAAACTAATTTCAACATTGTGAGCACCAGATCCACCGACCGCCAAAACCAAAAACAAAACTGACAAATTATGAGCGTTGCTGATTATCTCGGGTGCGCTCCTATCGTTTTTTTATGAGTCTGTGCATGCAAGTATGTACATATGTGTGTTATTGCTTTATGGTAAAAATACAGAAGGTATGGTATTTTTTTTTTACTCTCCCTGCACAGTTGGGTCGAAATATGCTTCACTAATTTGCGTGCTTTGTTCCTCCCACTGTGGTTGACATTTTTAAATAAATTCATTTCGTTGTTAAATTAATTAATTTTGTATATATTTTAATTTAAGTTTATAATTTCGAAAAAGAGCTTCAAGAGTTGAAACTTCAATACACTGTACACAAATGTGGGTTGGTAAATGAAATTATACTAATAAGATGGATAATTTATTTTTTGCGGGGAAGACGGTCAAGCTTGAAGTACAATTTCAATTGATGTTTTCTATGTATATTAAGCCGTATTTGCCGAAATTTGAATCTGTAATGATTAATTTCTACAGTCGCACCAACTAGTAAGATTCATGCAAACATTGCACCAGGAAACATATTGTGACGTCAGTTGCAGAGAAAACCGAATAACGGGCCTGCACAATGCCTTCTTTTTCTTTGCGGGATATTATTGCTCTTATCAACGCGCGCTCCAAGTGTTAACTGACTTTTTGGAATGTATTGCCCAAGTCGGGGGTGTTTCAATGTTATGTATGACGACGCATTTTTATTTTGTCATCCCCTAAGCTGCATCATGCAATTTTTGCAGCAGTAGTTCCCTTTGCCACACCCACCACCACTACCAAGCACCCCCCAACAGTTGTTGCTCCTTTGTCACCAGCCCTTGTCATCGCAATCAAGTTTTTCCAGTTTTGAAAAGCATGTATGTAACAGCTGTATTTGATATTCTGCATACAGTGCTGCCACTCCTGCGAAGTTAACCGCACCGGCAGCATTGCTAAAGGTCTGTTTTTAATTACACTGGCAGCATTGCTTGCGAATGTAGTATTGTTGTTTATAATATCATTAATGAAAAAAACTAAATACACATAAAATAATAGAAATATTATTATGTTACCTGGCGTTGGTGTCTTCGGCACGGGCGAAATAGCCAATGTCTTAATCCCGCTGCTGCGTGAGAAGGGCTTCGATGTACGTGCCGTTTGGGGTCGCACCATCAAGGAGGCTAAGGAAACTGCGACAGTACAGAATGTACCCTTCCATACCAATGTTATTGATGAGATGCTACTGCACAAGGACGTGGACTTGGTTTTCATTGTGTGCCAACCGTTTCTGCATGCGGAGATCTCGGTGAAGGCGCTTGGCATTGGGAAGCATGTGGTGTGCGACAAACCAGCCGGCCTACATCAAGTCGATGCCTTGAAAATGGTGCGTGCTTCCCAGTACTATCCATCACTGATTTCGCTGATCAATCATCCGCTACGCTTTCTGCCCGCCTTCACACACATGCGACGTTGCCTGCAAGAGGAACTCATCGGCCCCATCGCGGACGTACTGCTTGTAGACGTAAGAGTACAAATGGGCACCCTTTTTCCGGAAAAATTCAACTGGATGTGCGATGCAGCCATGGGTGGCGGTGCTTTGAATCTGGTTGGCAGTGTGGTGGATCTGGTTAGCTTTTTACTGCAACAACAAGCGATTCGTGTGCATGGCGTTCTCAAGTCCTACACAAAAACGACAGCAAGCATTAATGGCATCCGGCAGATAACAGCGCCGGATTTTTGCAACTTTCAAATGGAGCTAGCCAGTGGCACACTCGTCACAGTTGCCCTACACAGTCATACAGTGCCTGCGAAGGCTTTCTCACAAGAGGTACTGGTTTATGGCAGCAAGGGCCATCTGGTAGTAAGAGGCGGGGATCTGTTTGTGCTTAAACATGACAACGACGGCTTGCAGAAGGAGGAAGCACTCTATGTGGATGTACAGGACCTGCACTTTTCAACTACAAATTCGCTGCTACCGCGGCCCTATATCAAGGGTTTGTGTAAAATGGTCGGTGCGTTAAAAGAAGCGTTTGGCAGCAAGGAAGCAAGTTGGGTGAAGGCGCCAGTTTCTACAGCTGCCACATTCGAGGATGGCCTGTATGTACAGGCTGTCATAGAATCAATACGCAAATCAAACGAAACTCGGCAGTGGCAAAGAGTACAGATCACTACAGACACCCCTCTGAATCATGAACAGCTTTTGAGATATGCTCGCTTGTCCACCATGTAAATGTGTAAGAGTGTAAGCTGTGTTTTATTCATGTTTTGTATTTGTTCTGTTCGCATTTACTCTGAAAGTGATGGCATTAATCAAACGAATAAATAGTTGTAATTTCCTTATATCTAAATTATTTCATGATGTTTTAAATTATTAAAATTATCATTATTTCAGAAGTTCCATTAAAGAAAATAACCTTATATGAATCCTCAAATCAAAACAAATAGTAAACTTCCTGTATTGGTTCGTTTTTTCTTTAAAGTCATTCCTGGAAACTACAAGTTTTTTAATACATTTTCCCTTTAAACCAAAAGTAAATTCGTTTAGTCTGCAAACCTGCTGTAAATAATAATAAATAATAATACAGAATAATGTAAGAAGTTAGACTTATGTTAGTTAACAGCGCCCAAAAGTATGCAATATTATTTCACCACCACTGAGTTCTGTAGCTGTAACCCACATACGATATTCAAATGCCGATCGTTTGTTTCACTTTATAATAATATGAAAACGATGAATATTATTTTACTAATTTACCATTTTATTTAATAAAATATTTAAATAGATCTACAAAATCATCCATTGTACAAAATTTGTTTCTTATTCGTATACATAAATTACACTAAAATACATTAAAAATGACAAAAATTTCAAAATTCATCACAAAATATCTTTGTTGTTTGCTATAATGCATAATGCAAACCATGTACATGTATGTTTGTGTGTGTGTGTTTGTTTTTATTTTGGCATAGCAATTGTCAATGTTTCACAACATTCGCCTTTGCATTAAGTATTAGTTTAATTCCCAAATTAAAATGGCAAGCTCTGATTTCGTGCTATGAATAATTTCATTCTCTCCAACTTTTTGTTGTAAATGTGGGTGTAAAATGGAAGTTGTTATTGATTTTCGATTATCGATTCGAGATGTGTGTGTGTTTATATATTTTGTATTTGGTATATCAGCACTTAGTTAACTATAGACTAAAAACTACACTGGTAGAATAAAAACCTATAAAATTCTACCCTAAAGCCTTTTGCGTACACTTTGGTTACACAAATCAAACGAATTTTTTTTACCTAATTCTAAATAAATAAGTAACATAAGTGAAATTATTTTTTTGATTTTTGTTCTGTAGTAGTAATTAGCATTGTGGAACGCATAACAAAAACAAACGAAAAGAAATCCGAGTAAAACATACAAAGAAGACACCCTCTATTTACATTTAAAAAAAAGTAAAGCTAAAACAATTCTAAGATCTACGTACATAGGGTTGGGTATTTATCTCCCTATCGCTTATTTAGCTTGCGCCATAGCGTGACCAACGTCAGGACATGCATGACGCCAATCACAATGGCCATCAGCAGCATACAGTCGGACATGTGAACATCCGAGATCATCATGTACTTGAGGAACACCTTGGGACTGCGAAAGTGGCAGTACATGGTATTGTCTGGGCACTCGAGGAACGGACGATCCATGCCATAAATGGCATTCAGAGCACCGTGGAAACCAGCACGGAAATAGCTCAAATGCCACATCCAACGGAACATGGGCGTTATATCGATGTATCGTGAGCAGAAGCCGAAAACGGAGAACATTACGGCCAAAATCGGACCCAGGAAAACGGCAAGCTGTATATAGAGTTAAGAAAAACACATTTCAATCAACTTTTTCCAATGCATATCTATTGCCAATTATAATACCCACCTTGGTTGGCAGCGTGGCTCCCACAAAGAAACCCCACGCCTGTGCACTCAGCGTGGCCATAATGCCCAGCAGCATGAAGTAGTAGATACGGAAGGAATCCGAGCTATCGTTGCCGGTCAAATGAACGCTAATAATGATATATAGTGCGGCGCAAAAACTCTGAAAAGGGAGAAAGCAAAACATGGTTAAAAATACTCTGGGATCTACCATTTACTGAGACAACAACTTTTGATTGACAATGCTAAGCTCAACAGAAGACAACTGGATGACATATGTATGTACATATTTATGAATGTTGGCTAGGCATATGGTCGGCTAAAACTCGTTTTGAATCACTTTTTTTTAAAGGCACACAATTGTAAAATTCATAACTAAATTATTGAGTACTGCTCAGTGACAAATTGACGACCACTTCAACGCTTTAGTGGTCATAAAAGATTTTAAAAGCAAACATTTTTTTTCGTTTATTTAAAACAGGTTGTAAAGACAAAAAATGGAGAACGAACCATATGGGTTGACAAATCCTAAAGTTTTCATTTTGAATAAAATAACTTATGTTCCTAAATTTCCTTGATTTTTCTAACTATAAAAGCTCAAAACTTTACAAGTATGTATTAATAAAAAAGTAATATATTCAGCCATTATGTTTCTGGTTTGCTTGTAAAAAAAGAAAAAAACTGCTGCCAATTCTGAATTAAAAAAAATTATAATAATTATTCGTTTTACGTGTACAGTGAAAACTCCCTTAACGGACACCTTTTTTTATCCGGACACTCTTCGGCGGACACTTTTTGTAAAACATTCGATCGATATAAAGTATGGGTGGTAAAAAATTAGCCGAGTGAGTGTCCGGCCAAGAGAGTTTTCACTGTATTCTTTATTAGGCCCTCTTTCTAAGGAGTAATCAAAAATATCGAATTAAAAAGCTTATGAGCTTCTCTCAGAGCTCTCATTTGCTTAATAATTTTTTTCTAATCGAATTAAGCATTGTATGTTGAGAAATAATACTAAAGTGTATTTTCTAGTCTATTATTTGTATGGGAATTATACGATTTGATGGTCCGATGTAATCCGAATTAAACGATCTGCTAGTTCTTCGCAATTCAATTCTAAAAAGTTCATAGTAATTCCGGGAACAATAGCAAATGTTTGTTATAGCTTTAAACAAAAGAAATTCTTTACAACGCGCCAGTTAATTGTGCTTACAAAGAAACACTTTTGTGTGCTTCCCCTTCCCTCTGGCCTTGTGTGCTTTGTTTTATCCATGAATTTACGAATTTGCAGTACATACATACAAGTACATACATATACATATGTATGTAGTACTTAGCTGCTGTTTAGAAGCTGTTGCTGTTGCGACGCATTTCACAGAAATCTACGCCTCACAGTACGAGTATCGGCGGCTTAATTTCGGCTTAATGACCGAGTAGCAACAACAACTACACAAACAGCAGCAAAAATGAGCAAAAACAACAACAACAACAACAACAAAAATACATACAGAAAAAAAGGTCGTTAAACAAAAGGCTGAAGTGTCACTGTTGAAGCTTTAATTGCCAAGCAAATAAAGCCACCAGAGGTGATTGATCAACGCTAGATAATAATGATGATGACAATTATGATGAAGTGGTTGTGGTTTTGAATGCGATGATGGGGGATCGGCACGTGCTGATCAACACTTACCTGGAAGGGTATTTCAAAGGAGATCATCGAAAGAAAGTAGGGACCCAGCTTGTACCAGCGATTGAAATGCTCGCGTGTTAACATGTCGATCTCAAGCGGAACTGAAATAAAAGTACACACAATTGTTATCAAATTGATGAGAGTGTGAGTGTTTGTTTTTTAAATTTGTCGGCAAATTGTCAGACACTGCTCTCTTTACATATAGTATAATTAAAATTGTATCAACGACTGTCGCTGTGAAGGTGAAGGCATCTGCCTGCTTTCCGGTTTTTCTTGAAAACTGCTCGTCTCGTATGTAGGTCAGTAAACCGATAAAGATTTTTCGGAGTGCAACGCCGGGGGAAGAGGAGGGTCAGGTTTCGGTGCTCGGTGCACAAAACTGGTTGCAAGTTAATTTGTGGCCGGCGGCAGTGTCGGCTCTTATTTATCAGATGTAAGTACTTTTTTATTGACACCCCATTAAGTTTACACTACTTGTAATAATGGTTAACGTTTAAATAAAAACGTGCAATTTAAATCTACATACATATGTATGTATATCTTGGATAATCAACAATTATTTATTTACGCTTAAGCCATGTCTTCAAACTTTAATGAAACAAACTTGAATATACACAATACAATAGTAATACAATACTTTCAGGGGCTGTTTAAACTTAAATCTTAAAAACCAAAGTCCAACACCAATTGCTTAATTTTTGTCGTGTTCTTATAAGTCTAATGTTCTGAGGAAAGTCGTAAATTATTAAACCTTCAAAGCTTTGGGTCTGTCCAATTGTTGGCGATAGATGTCTTGGAAACCTGAAGAACAAGCTAATCCTTCAGTTGAATTTCTACTTTACGAGTTTTGAATAATTTGTTTATAGTACATTAATGGACATGAAGTTGACTTAGATAAGCAGACATTTTAAAAACAATACTTTCTCAATACAGGTGGGTTTCAGATTTCCAAACCCAAAGTACGCAAAGCTAATCTACAGTGCCTGATAGTTTCTTTATTTGAAGTATAGCTTAATGCTCTTTTGAAGTACAAAAGGAAGAACGGCATACGATTTCTTATGTTTACAAAAAATACATGAATAAATAACTATCCAATAAAGAAGCATCTAAAAGATATCTAAAAGTAACCATAAATAATCATAAACAAACAAGTTGTTTGTACATTTATTTCACTTTAATCTTTAAAAAAGAGCAATGCATAAAAATGTAAATTAAAATTTAAGTTCAGGTTTAAAATTTGATTACTCCACTTGAATTGTTTTTTTATTTTATTTTTTTGCAATGTTTGTCCTCATATTTGTTTATACTTCGAATATATGTATATTTTTTGTGGTGTGCTGGCAATTAACGTTGGAGCTCAGAATACTCGTGAAGCAATTAATCCAGCTATACTACACGAGTTAAGCAAACAATTTTGATTAGCGCGGCAGTTATCAAAAATTATTACCAAGACTTTATATTAAAAATCGCGTGTACAAGAACAATAAGTATATATTATATAATTCTTCACCTGGCAACTGAGTTTTTATTTGGCAATCAAAAATGTCCAATTTCAATTACAGGCTGTCTTGACAAATTCTATAAAACCATGTTAATTGCAATTTTTTCAACCGAAGTCTGGCCTTTTCTAAGAATTGACAAAAGATAAACAGCAGTTGTGTAAACTTAAAATATGCAATTGTGGGGGCCATTTACAACAACAACAACAACAACGCTCAGCTGCAAGGCTGCAGGTGACACAGATTTTTCTCGATACTCCCCCTCTTGTGCAGCAGCAGTTTAAACAAATAGATAAATGGGGCCATACCCATAAATCTGTAGAGAATTTTATAAAAGGAGAGAGACCGACTGATTGGCTAGCGCCCTCTCTTTCGCTCGCTTTGTCTCTGCCTTTGGGTAGAAACATGTTCTGTTTGTAATTACACTCAGGAAAATTAGGTGTGAGGCAGTTCGTATAACAATATTTGAAGGAATTGCAATCCTAAATTGCTTACAAGTCAAAAGTAGAACGTCGAGTAAGAAATATCAAGAGAGAAAAGAGTCATTCATTTGTTAAGGCAGAATTTGTTGTTGCCGATCTTGAAATTTATTTAAGGTCTTAACCAGTTTTGCAAAGTTGTAAGGATAAATTGCAAAGTACTTAAAAAAAATAACTCTCCACTTCATGGGTAGATATGAAGTGGAGAGTTCATTTTTTTAGTACTTTGAAATTTCTTTAATCATATGTATATTCTTGACCAAAACATCTATGGACTCTTTAGTGATTTCATATCCTGGTACATCCGATTTCTTTTTTCGAATGCGGATTTCGGATATATGTTTACAAAAAATACATGAATAAATAACTATCCAATAACGAAGTATCTATTTCAAAACATAGCTGAAGCAAAGAACATCTTTGCCAAGCCAAAAAAATCGCTCAATTATAGATTCTATAATACACCTAATTCTGTTTTAACACGGTCTTTTTTTACACGATTTTAATATAACACAGTTTGAAAAAAATAAATTTCTTTAGAGATAAGGCACCAATCAGCTATTTTTGCATATGATCAATGCCTTTTTTACAGGGTTGTTTCTGGCACCAATCTATCGTGTAAAAACAGAATTAGGTGTATAGAATATTGGAATGGGAATACAATTGCCATTATATATAACTGGTAGATTTCACATGCATTACTATAATACTTTCGAAACAATGTGCTTTTCATTTGATTTTTTGATTTCATGTTTCCATAATTTTCTAAATACCTATTCATTATCTGAAAATAATCTGTTAGAAAATTAAAGTTTTTCGATTTATTTTGATCATCTTATGGGGAAGATGAAGAACAGCTAATGTTAAAAAAAAAAATAAAAGCGAGCTAAAAAATAAAAAACTAATAGCATAGCCATTAGAGTTGGGAGAACTACGAAATAAAACATCGTAGACTGCGATTAGCAAATAGATTTCGCTCATTTTTCAATGGCTATCAACAGCAGATCAACACAATTTATTGGCGAGTGTAGTTGAATGAACCCCATGATATTAAAAATTATGCATGCAGCTTCAGTTTCCGATCATATGCTCCATTGACTGGCCGCTGAAGGCTGGCGCGAATGGCTGTGCAGGTTTCTCAAGTGGCACTCGTGTCGAGAACGTTGTTGGCAATCGATGCCCCCGGGGCCGAGTGCTAGCCTCTTATAAGCTATACACACACTTATCAAATATAAATAGTTTAAGTTTTCTATAATACTCACAGGTGAGAACCACAGCCATTTTGCCGGTGTAGACAAGCAGCAGAGTTGTGCCATAGAGGTACACATAGTTCCCGAGCACAGACTGCGCATTGTTGCCGACATTCATGTACAGATATCCAAAGATGACGCCAATAAATATATGCGATACGATCCGGGCCAGCAATAGAAACTGCAAAGAAAAACACCAGTCAAGTACTCGTACTACTAAGTATATAAGAAGTGTTAGAAATCAGACACGAATACTGCCAATACTATACACCCGAGAGCTGCAGCAGCAGTGTGCCAGAAAGTGTGTTAAGGTTGATGTTTTCGCTTTGCTTTGACGACTTCTGACCACACTTGAGTGGGTTTTTCTTCTAAGGCGTTTGCTCATTGACTCACCAGATGGCCAACTCTACTAAAGCCTATCTAGTTGGTAGCTAACGACCATGTCTGGCAAATTTGCTAAGCAAATTATGAGCAGCAATCAATTGCCAAGGTGCTAAATGCATTCAATTCTAGTTGCATTTTAAAGGCATTTTAAGCAATACCTATTTGTATAGCACACCTGGGGACAAACAATTTGTGTGCACTGTCAATTATTTTTATCTCCGTTGTTTCTCTCTTTAGTACCCAATGTGCAAATTTTGTTGTTTGTTGTTGCTTGTCAATAATATCTTAAGCTAAATGTGCGCAGCTAAAATTTACTTAGGCTTAGAAGAATGTTTTGGACTGGACGTGGGCTGGGCTCGCGTCTCAGGTCAAGGCTGGAAATGTTGACATAAATGACAGTTAACCATAAATATTTCAAATGACAAGCAAGCGCATGCGTGTCTTTTTAAAGAAGATACAAACATATTGCCAACTACATGATAGAACAGTTCCATCTGAGTAAACCATTCGGTATAATATGATAAGATTTTAAATGAAATTAAGCCGGCCGATTGTTTATGTGGTACTAAGTAGATATACGGTAGCTGTGATTCGAATCGGTTTAAAATTCTAAATTCCACTTTAAAATTGAGTAAGTAGTTTACACAAAAAAACAGACAAGCAGACAAATTTGCATACAATTCTAATTCTAATTCTGTTATTAAAGGGTCTTTTTTACACGGTTTTGATTAAACACAGTTTGAAAATTAAAAAATTGTACATATATTAATTGCTTTGTCACGCCGATAATTTACCAGCTGCCCAGTCTATAGCATTTCTAGTCTTAACAAGTCATTTTGTTACAATTTTTGGCTACTTCCCTTCATTTTAAAGAATTTGTTTGCAATCTCGAAATATTAAAATCAAACAATTTGCCATAATATACAGATTCCATTTCAATTTTTACAGTTGTCCAAATCTAATTCTATTTATATTATCTTTAATTAAATCCTTAGCAGCATTGTGTAAATCGATTTTTATTTTTAGAAAATTATAACCATTATAGCTTATCATTTATTATTCGTGAATTAATTTAAAAACAAAAATAAAAATAAAAAACAAAACAAAAAAGCAAAAAAAAAATAAAGGAAATGTAAAACATTTTATTATAAATGTATTGTACAATTCTTTGAATTCTTTGCATATTCACAAAATTTTTAAGTTTCATTTAAAACTATTTTGTAAAGTTAAAGAATATTGTATTAGCAATCAATTGTAAAATTCTTTGAAGGAATATTCACAAGATATTTTTAAGTTTCATTTAAAAGTATTTTGCAAAAGAATAAAGGAAATGTAAAATATTCTAGTATCAGTAAATTGTAAAATTCTTTGAAGGAATATTCACAAGATATTTTTAAGTTTCATTTAAAAGTATTTTTTTAATATTAAAGAATACTTTTTAGGCCGCTATTATACGAAAATTTATGCTTCCACCCATTTGCTAGCTTTATTTTTCTTTTTTTTTTATTCTTAAGACCAAATTAAATACAAAAAACATTTAGTAATAACACACTAGTAAGAATAGCCTGTTTAGCAAACTTTAAGAGCCACAGGGAAAGCCTTAAGCTGCTGTTCCCATTCATATGCAAATGTAAATATTTGCGAAGAATTTGAATGAGATTGTGGCCTAATTTTTCTGCGAAAGTATGAATTATTTGCAAGTTTTTCGCAAGTTTTTATCCAAATGTTGAGTCAGACCTCACCTCCTCATCTCTCCTTATATAATAATTACCCTAATACAAAGCAATTATTCATTGCGAAGTCATACATAAGAGCAAGTCTTTTAAATTTGGTTTGCGGCTTGCAAAATCCTGATGCGTAACTTCGCAGCAAACGTGCCGTGCTTAAAGCCAACCCAAATTTGGTAATTACATATGGCAATAAATTTAAATATATATACGAACAGTACAGACACACAATTGAGTTAAACTCCCGTCCCTGTACCAGACTGGCTTTAATGATAATCACACTAATTAGTAATTACCAAACGACAAAGGCAGACCCAGACCCAGTATGGAAGCTGCCGAGCAACTTCTGAACAGGCAGTATATTACCGCATATAGATATGTACGAGTACGTGTGTATATAGTAAGTAGACATCTGGCCATAGCCCCATGAGACGACTCAGGTCAAGTTAAATTACCGAAAAACTCAAACAAAAAAATGTATATTAAATACAGTTACTGAACAAAGTTATTTGAAAATTTCGCAGAAAAGCGGCTGTGCGGCAATAGCGTTTGAAGGACGCGTCGTAATATAAATTGCAAAAAAATAAATAAATAAATAAATATAGTATAAACAAAATTAAACTAAAATAATCTGTGTCAGTGTCTGGGCAGTAAATCAAAGTTACTGCTCGTAAATTTTAGCCAAGTTTCGTTTTGTTTTTGTTGCCAATTTTAGTGTGCGGCTATTACAAGGCATGAGTTACAATCTTACACACAGTTTCGGATCATAATTATGCAAAGTTGCACTCAGAAAATGTCCAACAACTGGAAATTATTATCGTTGGAAAATATGTACGATCTATTTAAAAGTATAGTCGTTAAATTATTGCCAGTCTAACCCCAGCTCACATTTACACAACATTATGGCAGTGCTTGGAATAGTTGCGGCTGTCTTCCTCTAAGTATTTGCCAATTTTTATTTACTTTATTAGCTGTCTAGAAATCTAGCTTGTTAACAGATATGTTTTTGAGAAAATCGTTACTTAGAACTTGAAATTATTCAAAACAACCACAAGTCGAGAATTATGTATATTCTAGTTAGAAATAGCGATGAGGAAACGTTCACAAAAGTCATTAAATTCTTCTCCTTATTATTATTATACAAGAACTAGTAATACTTTCGGGAGTCTTTAAATATTTGTTGTCCAAGTATTCAACTAGAGATTCAGTTTGAGAGAGATATGTTTTAGAAAACGATTGCCTAAGGCTATTGTAAATTTCTGGCATTAACTTGAAAGGTCAGAATGTAAGCTTACGATTCAAAAAATTGAATTGAAACTTTTAGTCGTCCTATACTTTTTGGACTTTGGATGCTCTAGTGAAAATTATAACTGCCTTCATCCAACATATTTAAAAATACTATTTTTTATGGTCTTTGCAACTATTAGAAGTTCGTTAATTGTATTAACGAGGAAACTATTTCACAGAAACATTCAAACAGAGCTCAACATAGACTATCACTACATTTTGCTTAATTGCTTTGGATCCACAAAACACTAAAATGTTGACACAAAAATTAATTTTTAAAATCTGTTATTATTGGAATTTCCACCACTCACAAAATATTGTGTTTTATTTCCTTCCCAATTCTAAAAGTTTAGTTTAAAAAGTATCAAAAAGTAGGTTTCTTTGTCCATAAAATGTATCAGGAAGTTAATATTGTATTTCAATTTCATAAAACACTTTAAAAGACCCAAAATTTGTATGTAATTAGATATATTATATTTAAATACTGTATTGTAGGCTAAAAATATATTAAGAGATCTAATCAGTCTAATGGGAAATAAAAAAAAAGCAATGACATTATAATTATCTTATAATTATGTCATATAATTTAGAATATTTCCACATGTGGTAAACATTTTAAACGATCTCTATGCTTTGGTAAATCCATTAAAAATCAATTGCCTAACAAATTTCTCTCTAATAACTTTATCAAAATCAAAATGGACTTTTAAGAATAAAATTCGAATGACACTTTAATTAATTGCCTCGTATGAGAAGAGCAGTCTTTTGAATTTAATTTAAAATAATTATTATTTATTTATTTATTTGATTTTCTGGACTTTTGCTGCTAGAGTGGCTTTGCTTAGGTGCCTCGTATGAGAAGCGCAGAGGAGGGCAGTCTTTTGAATTTAATTTAAAATAATTAGTATTTACTTATTTATTTGATTTTCTGGACTTTTGCTGCTAGAGTGGCTTTGCTTAGGTGCCTCGTATGAGAAGCGCAGAGGAGGGCAGTCTTTTGAATTTAATTTAAAATAAATATTATTTATTTATTTATTTGATTTTCTGGACTTTTGCTGCTAGAGTGGCTTTGCTTAGGTGGGTCGTATGAGAAGCGCAGAGGAGGGCAGTGTTTTGAATTTTATTTATAATAAATACTATTTATTTATTTGATATTCTGGGTTTTTTATGCTAGAATGGCTTTAATTAGGTGCCTCGTAAGAGAAGCGCAGAGGAGGGCAGTCTTTTGAATTTTATTTATAATAATTATTATTTATTTATTTATTTGATTTTCTGGGCTTTTGCTGCTGGAGTGGCTTTACTTAAGTGCTTAAGTGAATTTAATTTCCAAAAGTTATGATAACAATTAATTACACTTACGTAGTTTCGTCTAGCGCAGACCAAGATTCGTTGCATCAGTAGCAAATATTGCATGAGAAATGAGGCCGAGCTAATGTCTCTTTCGTTCACAAAGTATTGTGATTGTGTGGCAAGTGTCTGTGGCGGTTGTGGCAGCTGTTGTTGCTGCCCATCTTGCAGCTGCTCCGTCTGCAGCTGTGGCTGTGGTGAAGCATTTAGCGCCTTTGTCTCCTCCAAAGCCAAATCGTTGGCCGCTGGCTTCACGTATTCGAAGGCTGAGAATTGCGCCAGCGCAACTGTAGGCAAGTCTGTGCTCGATTTGCTCAGTGTGTTGCCTTCAATGTTGTCTGTAAAAAATTGAAAGAATGTCAAGAAAATATTGGCAAATGCTCAAACTAAACAATAATAATAATTAATTACCTTTTATTGTCGTTATGAGACGCTGCACATCGTCAGTATTTATATACTGATAACGATCCGCATCCTCGTAATACTTTTTATTCGCCGCCAAAATGAGTTTTTTCAGATCACGTTCATGTTCGCCGACGGCCACTTCCAGCACTATAAATTGAAAAGCACACGAAATTATTTACATGACCGGCCATAAATAATAAAATAAAATTAAAGCTGTGCTAAGCTAAACTTACAATAATCCGCTGGATTGTGATAGCTCGGACAGACTAGCTGCTGGTCGGCGAGGAAGGGCACCAGCTCCCGTGTCGGACCCTGATACATGCAATGGCCATCGACCACTGTGTACAGCTTGTCGAACATCTCGAAGATCAGGGCGCTCGGCTGGTGTATGGTGCAGACGATCGTGTGGCCTTGGGAGGCCAACTTTTTAAGCAGCGCCACGCACTGACTGCACGAGGAACTGTCCAGGCCGCTGTGCGAAAAAAAAATAAAATAAATGTGAAACCATAACTTTTAGTTAATTTCAATTATGTAATTAAGATAATGTCAAGTGATAAATAAGTATTTTTGCCTCGAAATGTTAATGGAGCACCAGCTGACCTTAGTGCTGTGGATCACTTAATCAACACGACAGTGTTCTCCACATCTTTTAAACAAACTCGTTTCACTGAATAACTCATTATGGAAAAATTGCCAGGGTGCTCCTCAAGTACATAAATGCAGTTTTTAACTTATTGCCCATTACACTTATGGGGCTGTTGTTGTTGTTTCCAACCTAGTGACTCTCATAAATGCCTATTTTAAAGACCAACCTCAGTGGCTATTACGTTTTAGTTTGTTCGTGGAATTTTTTTCATAGTGGTTTATGGGAATATATGGTTAGTACGAAAGAAATGGCAATGAAGACATTTTTTATGCAAATATATTGTCTCTTTATTTCTATACCAAAAAGAATGCATTTAAAATTTAAAAACAGAAGGATATTTCATATGGTTAGAGCGAAAGAAATGGCAACGTAGACATTTTTTATGCAAATATATTGTCTCTTTATTTCTATACCAAAAAGAATGCATTTAAAATTGAAAAACAGAAGGATATTTCATATGGTTAGTACGAAAGAAATGGCAACGTAGACATTTTTTATACAATTTATTGTCTGTTTTTTTGTAGAACAAAAAGAATGAATTTAAAATTTAAAAACAGAGGGATATTTCATACAGTTAGTACGAAAGAAATGGCAATGAAGACATTTTTTATGCAAATATATTGTCTCTTTATTTCTATACCAAAAAGAATGCATTTAAAATTGAAAAACAGAAGGATATTTCATATGGTTAGAGCGAAAGAAATGGCAACGTAGACATTTTTTATACAATTTATTGTCTGTCTTTTGTAGAACAAAAAGAATGAATTTAATATTAAAAAAAAAGGATATTTCATATAGTTAGTACGAAAGAAATGGCAATGAAGACATTTTTTATGCAAATATATTGTCTCTTTATTTCTAGACCAAAAAGAATGCATTTAAAATTTAAAAACAGAAGAATATTTCATAATTTTAGTACGAAAGAAATGGCAACGAAGACATTTTTTATGCAATTTATTGTCTGTCTTTTGTAGAACAAAAAGAATGAATTTAATATTAAAAAAAAAGGATATTTCATATAGTTAGTACGAAAGAAATGGCAATGAAGACATTTTTTATGCAAATATATTGTCTCTTTATTTCTAGACCAAAAATAATGCATTTAAAATTTAAAAACAGAAGAATATTTCATATGGTTAGTACGAAAGAAATGGCAACGTAGACATTTTTTTATGCAATTTAATGTCTGTTTTTTGTAGAACAAAAAAATTGGCTTTAAATTTTAAAGCAGATGTTTTATTTCACATTTGAAGAATCGTACAATATTATTTCTCTTGCATATAAAATATTGAATAAGAGTTGAAATTGTAATTCATTTATAGAAATTCATCTCTTGTATGGACACCTATGTACCTCCCTTTGAAATAGAATTATAATACCTTGACATCTCCTGCGTAAGTGAAAGAAATTTTTCAGAGAGTGCCTAATCTGTTCAACAGATTACAAAAACAGAGCTATAATGACAGCTGCGACGACTCTTCTGAGAATGCAATATTATAGAATGAGGGCTGTCTGCTAAGGAAGCCGAATCCGGCATCAGTAAAGATTAGAAACTGTTATTGAACTAATTCAATAGGGGCCTTGATAGTGCAGTGCTAAAAATCAATGAAATTATGAATTAATTATGCTTGTATTCGTACTGAGTAAATAAAATATATACATACTTGGAAATAGAATCAAATTTACTAATCATATTATGACTTGGAGGTGACCTCGCAATACAGCATTATATCATTTCCGTAGCGGAACTGTTTCGCACTATAGCTTATATACTAATATTAATATAGTTTTCAGGAATTAAAGACGTGCTGTCCACTACTTGTTTCATTGAATTCCTAATTAGTTCATAATTTTGCCAATAAACCTACAGGTTTTTAATTTGTTCTCAAAAAATTATTGATTCATATTTTAATGTTGCAGACTAATTAATGAACTTTAGTAATTATTCAGAGGGATGTTAGTTATGCAGACTATTATTTATCTAAATTATGATATGGTGTGTCCTGGTAGATAAGTCCCCTACACCTATTTTGCTGTACAAACGTTGAGAACTTAAATTCTGCGTCGAATATTTTATATTCCAGCTCTACACTAAGGCCTTTCAGTATTAGGAATTGTACTTTATTTTAATTTTTTTAAATGACAAATAGACAGACAGACGGACGGACAGACGGACGGACATGTCTAGATCGATTTCTCTCGTCATGCTGATTCAGAATATACTTTATGGGGTCGGAGATGCTCCCTTCTGTCTGTTACATACTTTGCACAAACCTAATATACCGTTTTTACCCTACCGGTACAGGGTATAACAACATACTATATTATATTCGCATTAACCCGCCCTTCCAAATGTCTTGTTTTCGACAGCAAGACGCCGTTCGGTTCGCAGTGTCAAAGCACTTGCGATTCTTCTGGTGTAAATGACCAGCAGATGTCTCAAAGGGCTGCATGACTTGACAAGACCTGACAAGAGATTCAAAATAAGCCGGCAAAGCGAATCGGTAATTGTTGTCTATGGCTTGAACTTCAGCTTTGACCGCTCAATGGCAGCGTAGAGTCGAAGCACCAGTTATGAAAAACAAAGCATTTGTTTTTGTTTATGTTAAATACTCTGCTTCCGATTCCAAACAACGTCGTCGTTATCATCGCCAGCATTTAAAATATTTTCCACTTTCGAATTCTATATCTATTTGCTCGATCTCGTAGGAATTGCAACGAACCCCTTGTTTATTGTTTGTTTCTTATTTCTTGCCAATGTGACAATCAACTTTGTACAACAAATATTCTCATTGATTATTGCAAAAAGCTTTGGCACCTTCGTACGTTACACTTATAGACAGCTTCACAAACGCTTTATTTCCGTATGGAGCTAATCTACAATTGTGATTTGTTGCTTTTCCTGTTCAATAACCCAATTCAGAAGCAGGCAATCGATGCAAATAAAAAAGTCAGCGAATAGGAGCATTCCACTATATAGTAGGTCCAATATTTCTACACTTGCCTGTTTATACTAATAAGCTAGAGACTAAGGAAAGTTGATAAGCCTTTGTTGACCCCAGCTGTGGGTTCCCTCAGCAACATACATATGTACATATATATATTTATACAAATAGCTTCACATACATACAGCCAGTATTGTCGTGGAAATGCTGACAAACTTGACTTCTGGCCGCTTTTTTTGGATTTCCGTTTACTTGTGCATTTGTATTTAAAAGCTTTGCTGCACACACATCCATACAAATTTTTATAATATTCAATATACATACATATAAATATAGTACTTATATTTACAGTCTATGGTACATAATTAGTGTTTCACTTACGTTGTTGGCTCATCCAAATAGAGCACCGGCGGGTTGCTTATCAGCTCGAGCGCAATAGCCAGACGCTTCTTTTGACCGCCAGATAGTTTGGCTGTGTAGACATTGAAGCGATGATCCAGACCCAGCAGAGATAATATATGTTTGATCTGGAAACACACACATAATCAAGTAGAATCAAACAAATGATCATAATATGTAGTATTATCCTAAGTCTTTGCGTACCAAATTCATTTTGTGCGCTTTGGTGATTTGAAAGCCCAGCTTTAGATGTGCGGCCATCAACATTATCTCGCCAACCATCAACTGAGGACGCAACAGATCATCCTGATGAATATAGCAAGAGAGTTTGCGAAAACGTTCCGAGTTCGTTGACATAGGTTTGCCATTGACGCGTAAATTGCCCGAGACTCCGCGCGCTCTGCCAATGGGAATGGAAAGGAAATGAGTTGTTGCTCCACAACAAGTGCCTCTCAAGAAAAAATATAATTATTATTATTATTATTTTAATAATAACAATAATGTGTTGTAAGGCATGTAAACTGCTGTGACTGTGTCGTGTGTGTGTGTTGTTGTTGTTGCCGCTGCTGTCGCGACACATTAAGAATATACATTTCAAGTTCACATTATAATGACCGATAACCAGCAATAGTAACGAACTTCGAAAACTTTAAACGCTTTTCAAGGCGAACGTCGCAAAAAGTTCAAAGCAACGACTATACTTATAGTATGTAAAAGATTTGCGCATAAAGAAAAAAAATATGAATTTAAAATTGTTTGTTGGGCTAAAATATTAATAATAAAGGTAAGCAGTTTGAATCAAAAACATATCTGTTGGAAAACATATCAATTGTGTTGTGTTTGTTGCTACTTTTTTTTTAATATTCTGAACTCTTTTTTTGTTGGCTTGCATATTTTAAATACGAACTCTTCGCTTCATGTGTATAGGCTGTTTGGTCTTTATTTTTGGAATGGACATACTATATAGTATATGTATGTATGTAATAAAAATAAGCGGACTTACCATCTTACAATCTGATCTATTTATCTATCTTACAATCTGATCTATTTATCTATCGAACTATCTTTTTATGTATCGGGGCATAGATGGCCGCTTGGCAAATAAAATTCCCCCACCGTGCCGGATTCGTTATTAGATATTTTTGTCATTTTTATAGGCATTTTTATTTATTTAGTTTTACTTAGTTTAAATTCTCTATTGTATTGATTTTTTTATGTACATCGACTGCATTGTTTGTCGATGAAAAATAAATAAATAAATATATCTATCTTGATATCTATCTATCTATGTATCTATCGATGTATCTATCTACATATCTATCTATCCATATACCTATATATCTATCCATTTACCTATATATTTATCTAACTATCTGTCTATCTATCTATCTAACTATCTATCTAGCTATATATCTATCTAGTTATCTATCTATCCTTCTATCTATATATCTACCTATCACACTATCTAAGTATCTGTCTATCTATCTAGTTATCTACCTATCTATCTATCTATCTATATATATATCTATCTATCTATCTATCTATCTATCTATCTATCTATCTATCTATCTATCTATCTATCTATCTATCTATCTATCTATCTATCTATCTATCTATCTATCTATCTATCTATCTATCTATCTATCTATCTATCTATCTATCTATCTATCTATCTATCTATCTATCTATCTAAGTATCTGTCTATCTATCTAGTTATCTACCTATCTATCTATCCTTCTATCTATATATCTATCTACCTATTTAGCTATCTATCTATCTAACTATCTGTCTATCTAGCTATCTATCTATCAAACTGTCTATCTAGCTATCTATCTATCTAGCTATCTATCTATCTAGCTATCTATCTATCTAGCTATCTATCTATCTATCACAATTGCGGCGTGATCCAAACACAAGTCAGTTTTTTCACATTTGCCGAAATTACATTTCTAATATGAATGAATTCATCTGAATGTGTATTGAATTGTTATACAATATTTATATTGCATGTATAGTACTATATATAGAGCTAGTGCTGTTTTATATCTAGTTGAATAGTCTTAAAGCTTCCAGCAAATTGTTCTTACCTCTTTGTGTCAAAAATCAATTCACTTTATTAACATTGCTTAAGATTTATTTGAAAATGTTGAATGTTGAAAAAAAAAGGATTTTTACATAAGTCATGTTTCGAAAAATTATGTAATTCTCATCAATTTCAACCAATTTACAAGTATTTCAATATTTATATTAAAAATGAAGAATAAAAATAATAAATAATAAGAATGAATGAATAAAAATAATGTTTGTAGGAAAACTAGGGCCCTTTCATATCATCAGCTGCAATGCTTTTGGAGATCCGGGGGCACTAACAGAAATTTATGTATATTTATTTATGTATGTATGTATGTAGGTCTCATTGAACTTTCTGTCTGTCCCAACTGTCTGTCTAATCTACTCGCCGCATCATGCTCTACACGATCCAATCATGACCTTTGAAAATCTTTCAATAATAAATTTAACAATCCGTGCGAATTTTCAGAAGCGAAAAGGCCATTTTTGATTGCCTTCTAACACATACATACATACTTGTATGTACATTTCAATTTCTATTCTAGATCTAAGACACATATGTACATACATGTGTGTATATTTTTAGCAACTTTTTTATTTGTATGTCAAGGCCTCTCTAATTTTGTCAATAGACAATTCATCAATCAGCCGCAGATTGCCCAATTTGCTGCGCATGTCATTTCATTACAGCTCAGACAATCGGCTGTTGCTTTTCCCATTCTTATTGTTATTGTTGTTGTTGCTGTTGTTATTTACACGCGCATCATTCGATAATAGTTTTTTTTTCACTTTTTTCGCTTTTCGTTTGCAGTCAAGCGGATTCACGTTTTCACGTGCCTCTGTGTGTAACTGTTTCTGTGTGTGTGTGTGTGTGTGAGCGCTGACTTATCAGTGTAGCATCAGCTGTGCCTCGCAGATGTTGCTGCTGCGCATTACTCAGTGTTTGTTGTTGTAGCAGTAGTTGGTGTTGTTGTTCTTCTTGTTGTTGTTGCTGTTGCTGCTGTAACTCTAATCAGCAGCGTAAAAAAACAAGCAAACACACTTAGTTGTGAACTCCTATGCTGGTTTGAATGGGGACGTGGGTAGGGGGGTTTAATCTAACACGTACGTATACGAGTTCGTATAGAATTTTGTAACAGTCCAATGACTCATACGCACCGTATGCCTGCGAGCGAACAGTGTGTGTTTTATTGTTTTTATACTCTATACCTACATAAAAGGTATATTCGATTTGCGGGACGTCGAAAATGTAAGAGAAAAAAGGAGGTGTGGCGCACCCTCTAAAGTACTATATATACACCGAATTCTGTTTCTACACGGTGTGAAAATGAAAAATTTTATATATGGTTGCACGACTTTATTCCATTTAGCACGATTTAAAATACCATATGATCAAAACAGAATTAGATGGAATTTCTTGATCAGCATGACAAGACAAGTCAATCTAGCTCTGTGCTCTGTTCGTCCGTATGAACACCTGGTTTTCAGAGATAATAAGAACTAGAGACAACAAATTTTGTACACAGATGCTTTATATATATATGAGTTTTGTTTAATTTTTTTGATGCACGCCCTCCACTCATATTTCAAAATGTTCCTCCATTCTCCCACTCCACCGCTATTAATAATTTTTCACAACTCCCTTAGTTCTTAAAATTTTTAACTCAAATTGCAATTTGCAATTGCGTCCAATTAGTGATTATGTGTTCATTTTATCATCCGTGTCATCATTGTAGCTCAATTTAAAAAGTAGTTATATGTTGTTTGGATCAACTTTTTTACATACATAGTTACACATAGGTAGAGAGTACTCCAAGTCGAGGCACTCGACTTTAGCTTTGCCACTTGTTTTTTTTAATGTGACCAAGCCCGCGCATTTGTTTATTTCACAAGACCTTTGACCCTTGCAATGCTTTTTTAATGGTTTACTGAGTACTTGCGAATTGAATTCAGAAGCTTAAAGTCCGTTCGGCTTACGTCAGTAAAATGGGTTCGAAAATATAGTAGTAGTAGAACTGAACTCACACACTAGCAGTAATGCTTTTTTAATTTAACTTTAGATTTGAAATATGAAACCAAATCTCTTATGTGCTGTCATTACAAGCAATTGAATAATAATGTATGTCTTTCTAGTTTGAAATGTAAATATTTCTGATAGAAAATTGAAATTGCAATTAGCTAAGAGCGATACTCTTTCAAGAAATCCGGACAAAGCAGACTATGGTTACAGTACTTAGAAGTACTTGGAATACTTTCAACAATCTGGCATGCCACGAATAAGCCAGAGAAACTTTATTGAATTGGATTTGGCATTCCCACAAAGAATTGCTGGCATAGGCTCCATGTCTTAGGGATACAGTTTAAATTATTTCTGGCTGGAGCAGCGCTTTTAATTTATTTTCCAGCAGAGTTAAGCTGCTTTATTTGATTTGAGTTGCGCGAACGATTAGCTATATCAGGCCTAAGCGCACAAGGAAGTTTTGGTTTAATCGAGGGAACCCTTGGCGGCGTATCTAGTAGGTGGGGTGTAATCCTAAGGTCAAGAGTCGACGATTGAAGGCGAGAAGTCAGCTTTTTATATAGACAGACGAAGTCGTGAGTCGGTGCCAGTGCACGGCGGACAGGAGATATGCATTGGGGACAAAAGGAGCCAATGGCAGTTATTGGATCGTTAAGTACACAGACAAGAATATTTGTTAAATATTGTATAAATTTGTTGTACGAACACCAATTCTCAATAAAGTTCGCTTTGATTGCATTATAAATTCAAAAGCAAACATATGATATTATCATTGAATTAAATTATATAAATTATTAAATTATATGTATATATATACATACTCGTATTTGTATATTTAAAGCAAAATAAATTCTCTTTGGTAAACACGGTTTAGAGGAAAATATCTAGATATCACATACGCATAGTTAAAGCTTAAATGGCACGTTGTCGAGCATTCTGCATGTATTATATGTATTTATTAATGAATGTATCTTCTGAAAGGTCATTCCCAGTTGTACTTATTACGTGGTGTTATTAATACAATGCGGATGGGAACTGCGGAATCGCACTTCGTTTTTTTTTTTGTAAAGCTTTTAAAGAATTGAATTTTTGTAGATATAGGGCTTTTCAAAATTTCGAGCTTAGTGCGGACAACATTCTTCTCACCCACCCATGAATATAGCAGGTAATTAAGCAACGGCATTACTTATATACTTATGTACACGTATATATATATATATTTGGATAAGACAAACAATCGATACTCGCTTTGAATAACAAATTTCTCTTGAGATTGACGTAAGTGGCTTTAAAGCAAGCCGTATTTTGGTTAATTTTGTTTAAAATTAAACTAATTTTCCGCTTTAAGTGTCAGTTTCTGTCAATTGCCTTTTGCACTTAGTTATTTATCCAACAATCCAAGGTAATTGTCAGGCCCCCAGGCCTTAAGTGTAATTGTCTCATATAGATCAGTAAGACATCAAAGTGCTCGAACTGCTGAATAACTTTTAGTCGCTTCAACGGCTACTACAGATTCAATCTCCATGCATATAGTATGTATATGCGCATTTATGGATTAGCAATGCAATTATCAACAAATTACACCACATTCCTAACACCCGGGAAATTTTAATTGAATGGATGAATGAATGAACGAACTCAATAATTGCAATTGTTGCATTAATATCCATGGATTGTGCGTCCAATTGTTGCCATTAAAAATCGTTTAGAGAAAGCAAGAAGCAGCAGCAGCAACAATTAAGTACACTTTGTATATATTGTTGCTATAGTTGGCGCTAAGCAAATAGCTTAAGCTTAATTGCACATTTAATGTATTTATTGTTGTTTACTAAAAGTAACGCTTAATGGCACAGGCAACAATTTTGCACAGAGTCAAGTGCAGCTTGATCCATTACAGGCATTAATATTTACAATAATCACTCAAGTTGTCACACTTGATTGAAGCGACTTACCGAAAACCCGACATTACATTGAGCAAAGTGCTCTTGCCCGCTCCAGAGGGTCCCATGATGGCCGTCAGCTCACCGGAACGAAAGTTGCCATTCAGGCCATGTAATATTTCCTTGGTAACTGCAATGAAAGAGATCAACAACTTGTCAGTTAATGTGCAATTCAGTGCAGTCCAGTCACTGACCGCATTTCAATCATTCGTGTTACTCACCAAACTTGCGTTCCGGAAAGGAAAACTTGCGCACCGAGTAACGCACATTCTCGAACTCGATGTCGATGGGTTGGCATTCTGCAAAATTGGCATGCGCCACAGCATCTTTGTAGTTGTACGGCTGGAAGCCGCCCAAATTGTTAGTCACTTTCGTCACCGATGCACCAGACGATGTCGAGGAGGTCTCATCGATTGACATCTCCGAGCTGGCCGCTGTGGTGCAACAATTGATGCCAATGCAGCAGCTGCCACCAGCTCCCTGCCCATCAGCAACATGACCTTTGTGGCTGCCTGTGGTGCTACTGCTGCTGCTGCTACTGCTTCTGCTGCTACTACTGCCAGCACCACCGCCGCAACAGGCAGCATCGGAGGGTTTGATATCTGGCAAGAGGGTCATTATTTTTGTGTTGGCTTATAAAGCGCCTAAAAGCTGTTCAGGTACGTCTGCAAGCTGAGAAGCTGTAACGGAGAATGAAAATTGAAATAAATAAATCAATTTATTATTATTCCTAGTTGTGTACTATTTTTCATAGAAAAGTTTTATTTTTGTGTCTTCTTTTTGTGCGACTCATGACAAGTTTTCTAACCCTATATTAAAGAAATCTACACTTTTTTCTTGTGATGTATAAACTTTTTATGTTGTAGCTATCTATAATATAATATTATAGTATATAAATTGAAGTAAATTAATTCCTTTATGGAGTTAGTATTATTCTTAGTTTTGTTCTTATTTTCATTAAAAAGTTTTACTTTTGTGTCTTCTTTTTGTGCGACTCATAAAAAGTTTTCTAATCCTAATATCTACACTTTTTTCTTGTGGGTGTATAAACTTCTTATGTTGTAGTTATCTATAATACAAGTATAATATTATAGTATATAAATTGAAGTAAATTAATTCCTTTATGGAGTTAATATTAATTGTAGTTTTGTTCTTATTTTCATTAAAAATATTTATACTTTTTTTTGTGCGATTCATAAAAAGTTTTCTAATCTTATATACTTTGAAACTACCTTCCGGGTGTAGAAACATGCGGTTTCGACGGCCTTTAAATCAGTTACTAGGATGGCATTTAATTTCTCAAAAGTCTTGTCTACTTAAAATAAAATTTAATTTAAAATTTTTTCTGGTGGATAAAGAGTTTTAGCTTCATGTTGTAGATAATATTAAAGAAGTTTTGATGCCTGAAGTGGATGGTTGCAGCTTAAAGCAAACGCAGCCGTATACTAATCTTACCCAAAAAAAAAAAAAAAAAAATCTTAAAAGAGTTATAATTTCATCTTTCTCTTCTTAAAAGACTTACAATTCCATCTTTCTTTATTTCGCGATATCCACTTGCGGCATTCAACTTTATTTTCCCCTATTTTAAAGTTTCATTAAGTATTGCGCTTTAATTTCACAATTATGGGCGTTATCCATTATCTTTGTTTGCTCAGAATTGCTAATGACTATTTGCTGTTTAGAATTAAAAGGCGGTGCATGACAATTAAACTCAACACTGTTACAAGCAATCGTAATTTGCAACAAAAAAGTGGCTGTCGCTTTGAACTTGCAGGGCGTATACGTTATTTTTATTTAACAACTCAATTTAGGGGAATGTGGCCGTGCCTGTTTTTTAAGCATTATTTAAACATCGATTTTAAACAAAACAAAACAAAGGTTAGAAAGCAAAAGCCACCATAAAAACACTGTTTTTACGGGCGTCGAGCAGAGAGAGGCAGTTTAACTAATTAGCTAAATGCTCGTATGTGCACCCAAAAGCAGCAATTTCCCTCTTTAATCAATCAGTCAACCATTTAAAGGCGTTAAAATTTTAAATCGTCCATAAACTTTGATTTATGGCTCATCTAGCCTACCTGCTTAGTCTATCTAGCAGCCATTAATCTGACCGACTGCCAGCCAAATATGAGCAAATATTTACAATTGATCTGTGCGATCGCATAGCGGCATGCCATATATACTATACTATAGTATATACTATATATATGTGTGCATATGGAAGCTCATAAAACTATGCCCATGTTTACGAAGTGATTTGGCATTATGCAAATTGTATGCGTCAATAAACCGATATGCTAAGTAGCCAGCTAACACACCGCGATTTTGTTGATATAGAAATTTTCAAAGTTGATCGAAAGCCGTCTAGACAGTCTAGATGATTCAAATGAACTGCGGCGAACTGCGGTTTTTATTCTTTAGATTCTCAAAAAATGAACTCTCACTTTGTGTTAATACTAATCAATAGGTGGTAGATAATGTATCATTAGGTGCTATATTCGCAAGTTAGCAAATTGTCAAGCCAAACAAAAGCAATTAGGGTAATTAATATTGCACTATCATTTGGTTTATTGCTGACACAGCATGTAGAATTAGCTGGAACTCGCTAATTGCAACAGCATTGACACAGGTCAGTTCCCCCTCTCCAGTAGGTGTAATCGAGTAAATTAATGAAATGGAACAGAAAAACAAGAGAGAACGCTACAGTCGAGCAAGCCCGACAGTGTAATACCCTGTACCCAGGTAAACTTCCCTCACTGAGTTATATGCGCCCAAAGCAGAAGCAAAAAGAGGAAGAAGAAGAGCGAACTTGTTGCTGCCGAATAATAATAAATTAATAAACTATTAATTATATATAAATTATGTTAAGTTTGGTTAAGGTAGCATTTGAAATGTGGACGCTATTGACGAAATTCTGTAGCGGGGGAAGGAGGGGAAAATTTTTAATAAAAAATAAACTCGTCCTTTCTCGGACCTAGGAGAATCTGGATACCAACTTTGGTTATTCTAGGTTTTATAGTTTCTGAGATCCTTGCGTTCATCCAGACGGACAGACGGACGGACGGACGGACATGTCTAGATCGATTTCTCTCGTCATGCTGATTCAGAATATATATATTTCATGGGGTCGGAGATGCTTCCTTCTGCATTTTACATACTTTGCACAAACCTAATATACCCTTTTTACCCAACGGGTACAGGGTATAAAAAGCAACCAAGCGGAATAAATGTACCTACACTCAACTAAATGGCGAAAAGTGAGATTATAGGATTTATAAATAGTCTATCAAGACATTATATGGGAAATAATATGAAGCTAATAAATGTTAGGCTGGAGTTAAAATATTAGCGTAGCTCTCGAATAAAATGCAAATTCTATCGATTATGTTCGATGTTGTTTAGACGAGAAATTCTTTAACTCTCTGCGATTTTTAGAATGACATTTTAATAGGAACATATTTTTATACAAAACTTCATTTTCTAGTTTTCTTACTTAGCTACAAACTAGTATACATTGATTATTATAGCTAAGACAATACCTCTTCAACAGTGTAAGGAAACCAAAATAAGTACGAAAGTTCATATCTCTTTAAAACTTCTCCAACTGCTAAGCGCTAAATTGAATTCCCTTTTATGAGAATGTAATTACTTTTAATGAAAAGAAATTTACCCACTCTATACATTCTAAGTATATTTATTCTGCAAATATTTAGGTTTAACGAGAAGTAGCCTGCGCAATTAATAAGCGCTGAATCAACGTTTGTGGTTTCAAATAATCGTGAAAATAGATTTTCTGTTTGCTCATCTAACGAGACTTCAAATTAAAACTGATTAGTCAATAGAAATGACTGGGAACAACCTAAGCGAATAATTGTAACTTTGTAAGCAAAGTTTGAAGGTAATGTGAAATTGAATTTCTAAGAATTATAAGTGCAAAAATTAACCACAATAAGAGTTTATGTCTGAACCAATGTGGATGTACAGCTTACAGATTTCTCCAAATCAGGCAGCAGTGAATCATCATGCCTCCATGCATATATGTTTAAATATTTTCCTTTGTGAAAGTCCGGCGCTGAGTGAAAAAAGCCTTTAAAAATGCATTAACCCGCTGAGCATTTGTATTGGCCCGACCCCGCAAAAATGTGTCATTTAACCAGACACCAACAGATAAATGAAAACATTATAGTACATATAGAATGGGGATAATGGGCAGCGATATTAAATGAGCAAACCTAAGGCCCCGTCCGTGTTAAATGTCTTGCCTTACACCCAACCTTCTGCACTGTCTGAGTTAAATGACATGTTGGCAAACATATCAAGAAGTTTAAAGCATTTTTTTTGAATTTTTTGTTAACTGATATTGACTTTGTTTTTAAGTGCTGTTGTGCATTTACCAAAAATAAAACACAAAACCAGTTTGAGTCAAAAAAAAGGAAAATAAAACGAATACGTGAATAAAAATGTAAAAATGCCAGCTATTTTTCGCACAGACATGTGGGCCCCCTTGCACATTAATTACCCAACTGCAACGGCTTTTTAAACGACAAGTTGTGTGTTGCTTTACTGTTGGCCAAAGGCATGGCCAAGCACTGGTTTTTAAAAGTGGTTCTGCGAACGCTTGATTAAGCAACGAACAAAAAAACTTGTTAAGTTCAGCGTGCCGGTTAAGCCGATCATTTTCAACTTTAACTCAGGCAAGAAAATACAGTCATGCAATTGAAAAAAAAAGAATAACAAAAAGCAAAAGAAAAAAAATTAATAAATTCACACATTTGATCATTAACATTTCGTTTATATTATAGTTGTTGTCACAGTCAAAGGTACAAGGGGAATTGTAAGGCACAGCACAATTGTTGTTATAGGGTTTTATGATGATGGGTGAAAAGTGAATTAATGCAGGCAGCCAATCGTAGAAAAATAGAGAGGCAAAAAGTGAATGTAGGGGGGAAACGTGAAAGGAGAACAGACAGACAGAAAGCAAAGGTTGTGCAAACGCACGGCATTCGCAGGCTTATTCATACCTTAAAACTCATACGATGCGCTTGGACGTATTCAATATGCAAAATAGATACATTCCTAAATTAAACACACACTCATTCACACACACACACACACATACACACCTGCACTGAACGCACGACAATTGCCGTATTTTCAATTAAAGTCACGAAGCAAACTAAAAATGTTCAAAAACGTGAACAACTTCTAAAACAAACGCAACGCTGACCGCGGCAAATGGCAATAGCAACAATAACAAACGACTATTTTGAACTATTAGCAAACGAACAATTTTCAAAAATACAATAGAATGAGCGCACACCATACTATATATTACATTAGTATTACATGGGAAACAATACTTAAAGCCTGGGAGCCCCGGCTTAGCTTTGCCTTTGCTTTGCTTTGTATACAAACTGCTATAAGATTTGTTTGTTTCAACGACAATCACATTGTTTTCAATACAATAGTTTCTGTATGATTCGGTTTGTGTGTTCGTGTGTATGCAAAATACGATAAAAATAAAACTAAGTAAAATTACGTATACGACCCGAAGAACTAATTTGCGATAAAGAAGTGACGTCGCCAAGGCCAGCACGTGGCGCGTTTCAAACATTTACACATTTTTGTTTACGCGCCGCCCTCTGGCTTGGGATATTTTTTATCCATTTTCATTTTTGACTGACTTAACAATGGGCACGACATTAAAGATACAGAGTTTTATGGATCTGAAACACGCAACACAAAAATCCGCAACACTAATGTAATTGTAATTTTATATACACATCCATAAGAATTTAACAAAGTTCAATTCGACGCTACAACGTAGTAGCCGGCAATATATATATATATAAATATGTGGTTAGGGCCAAAGCTGTTTATGTGCTTACTTCATAAAGAGTCATCGCACCGGCATAGCTGGATATGTTGACAAGTTTTGCACTTAGAGAAAACAAATACATACATACATATGTCAGTGGGAACCCATAACTCTGCATAGCTGAATAATTTAAAATAAGAATGAGGCTCGAAAAGGTTTAAGCAAAAACATATACTATTTATGAATCTTCATTCGGAAGGTTCAAGCACAGGTCGATGCGGCAGCAGCAATTTTAAAGAAATATGTATTAATATAATTTAGTATAAAGTTTGAGAAAATGTTTATTTGCATTTTGTTTTTTGTTTTTACCTATTTACAACGAAACTTCGCTAATTAATTCCGCTAAACGCATTTTCAACAAATAAAAAACATTCGTCACAATGGAATCTTTGTTTATTTGTTATTTTAACGAAATATGTATTAATATAATTTAATATAAAGTTTGAGAAAATGTTTATTGGTTTTTGTTTTTACTTATTTACAGCGAATATTCGTTAATTAATTCCGCTAAACAACAGATAAAAAACATTCGTCACAATCGAAGCAGGCCTTCTTTGTTTATTTGTTATTCACATTATAATAAAGTAGAAAACACTTTATTTCAATTCCTAAATCTAATTTTAGCTATTTACATTTTTTTTTTTTTTTTTTTTTTTTGAGCCAACGTTAAGAAATAAATAATTTTCGTTTCCATAAATTTTTTATAACTAGCTGGAGATTTCATATTCAGATTCAGATTGCCGCGTAGATAAGTTTCAGTGAAGGTTATGATTGACAGCATAGTTTTAGCGAAAGTTTTATTTGCAAGCTCCCATCATATTCATTATTGAAAAGTTTTCACATTTGTACAAACATATGTATGTATGTTCATCTGTTATACAATATACAGTTTATGTATTGAAACATTGAGTAGTTGGCAAAATTCCCTCTCATTAAACACACGGCTCGTAATAAAATGACGTGCTGTGCATAAAACCATTTAAAATTCAAACCTCGCTCGGTGTAGCGCAGGAATAAAATCGAAAACTAAAGCACGCACGATATAATTTAAAACGTTGCGCACCCGCACAGCAACAGACACCAAACAAACAAAAAATCAAAAACATCAAACGATGTCGTACCATCAATGAACAGACAGAGAGACAAAACTAACCAGAATAGCAGGCGGGCAGACAAACTAGCTGATAGGCGAAGAGAAAGACAAAACGAACTGAGACACCACTACTGGCCTACATTCAAAACAACAGCGGCAAGAGACTAGACGACGGGGTTAAATGATAAAAGAAAATAAAAAGTTCTTTCGCTGCGACGCAACAACTTTCGACAGTAGAGTGGGGTTCGAACTAATTTTTAATGACCAATAGTTCCTTGTCTTTGACTCTAACTCTCTAGTTTTTGGCGTTTTTAGCCAAAGTTCTTAAGAACTCTTTTGTTGCCAGGAAAATGTAACAATTTTCCCTTTTTAAATAAAAGCAAATGTGTATCTTAATGTGAAATTAAATAACTATTAGTGAGCTGTTTACAAATGAGCGAAAGAACTACACATTCGACACACTATTTGAGATCAGTCGTGTGGTTGTGGCTGCAGCGTGAACAGCTGATTAGAAAGTGTAGGTCAAAAGCACAGTTACATACATACATATGTATGTAGTAAGTACTAACCTGTTGAGAATGCTTGTGGCCGTTCTTTGTATCCAACTTTCAAACTTGTTGCGTAGCTGCTGTTCTTTTGCGTTGCGACTGCGCGTAGGTATTACTCCTTCCACTATTGTTATTGTTGCTTTTATGTTTCAAACGAAAAATACGCGCGCGCATATGCACAAATATGATGCGACGTAAAAGTTTACAAGTTGAGAAACAACGACACAAAACACAATTCATGAATGAAGTTGCGCATTACATACACATATACACACTGACAGATTAGATAGTTTATGCAGAGAGTATCCATATGTAACTTTACAAATAATTGCTCACTTTTGTTTTCTAACAATAAAACATAACATTTTCGTACAGCACGTGATGTAAAAATTGTCTCCTTTAGATAACCTTCTTTTTAGAGGCTTGTATCACTTAAACTTTTCTTTTACGTGATTTTAATGCGATGCAACATTTTCAAATTCTGTATACATGTTATATGTATGCAGACATATGTTTTTGTATTTTCCGTTTAATGCAGCACTTTCTTTTGCTAGCAACTGGCAACTTCACGAGCTTTTTATGTAAACAGTGCATGTGGCGGGCTATACGTGCAGAAGGGGAAGTGCAGTGCCCCACGTTAATTTGTATATAGAATGTATGTATGTATGCATAAACTACACTTGTATGTATTCTATATTCCTTTTTATTTGATTTGTTTCGATTAACTGTCTATACGTAAAGTAAGTGTGCTTTTTATTCCATCATTGAACTTATGCAGATCACTCGGCGCGTAAATTAACGTTAATTGTGTGTGCACTCGGTTTGCTTGTAGATACATACTTACATATGTATGTATGTATATTATTTACTTCTTTGCTTTTCACTTTATCATCGATGCGTTGCTACTCCCGTTCCATTCGCGTGCGTCCATGCGCGCAGCCCGTTGCCGTTCAACTACAGAACTTTTGGCGCTCTCAACGGCTCTTATAGTAACGGTGCTCACTCTACTTGGCACTTGGGGCAGGCGCGCTGATCGTTCAAGAGAGCGCCAATTAAGCTCTCTCACTCTCACGCCGGCACTTTACGTTTTAACGTTACGTTGCTTGCATTTTTGCCCTGCTGTTAATCTTTTTTTTAAGTTGGCCATTTAATTGGCTTGCTTTTTTTTTGTTTTTTGTAAGTAATAATCATAATTTTTATGAGACATATGCAATGGTTGTACTTTATGTTCCAAGGTCTCTATGCCAACATATGCTCTGCAATATCCAAACACATACACACATATAAACTGTTCGCTCGTCTTGGGTAATTCTATGGCTCAAGCTTATGGAATTTCTACGTTGTTTTCACCGTCTTGGAGTTTAACATTGCGTCTGTGTGTCGTAAGAGTTTCCCTGATGACGTTTATTCAACATAGACATGTTTATTAAACGCATGTAACTGCATGTGCTTGCTATGTGTATTTATGAGTCAGCGTGTGAATGAGCTGGAAAATCTTTGCGGTTGGGCTAAGAACAATGCTTTGCATTCTGCAACCAATGTGGGTGACAAAAAATCACACTAGTAGTTCTTCCTCTAAATAACATGATTGTAGCAGCTATTTATAAATCTGTCGTTCCCCATTTGATATTTATTAAATCAAAGCTAGTTGTTTGAAAAACTCGATTCCATCTATAAATATTAAAAGCGTTCTAACTAGGCCATAACTAATTAAATTCCAATAATTATTGAGATAATAGTATTTTTGAAAACTGTACAGGGTGCGCCATCTTTTATGTCGGTATGTAAATATTGAATAACTTTGTCATTAGTGAACCGATTAACTTGAGTAGACCAGTGTTGAAAAATTAGTCTGAAGAAATTGTACAGAACCAAATTAAATAAAAATATCTCATACTTGAAAATCGGTTGTTTATTTTCAAAGATATTCAATGTTTACATACCGACATAAGAGATGGCGCACCCTGTATATTCAATTTCAATATAGAAATATTAGTTAGATTTCTAAAATAATCGATTCAGAATATTGAAATCGCCTTTGGAAAAAAACTTTGTTTATGGCAAAGATTGCATTCGATTACAGACACGTGGCGAAGTACTAAATACGTATTTAAATGGTTAGGTACATATTGCATTGATCAACGTAAATAAAAAAAAATAATAATAACAAATAGAAATACATTTGTAATGACTAGCCTAATAACTTAAAGTAATCTTGAGCATGTAAAGCTAGGATAAATTGATAAACAAATAAAAAAATAAAAATAAATAAGCCAGGAAGAGTTCAAAAAGTCAAGGCGTAAGGTGATCTGTTTTTAATTAATTTAAAAAGGAATAACTGTGAATTTTAAATCAACACCACAACCAACATGTCTATATCGTTATAGAGCGAAGACATTCCTGATACAATCATTAAACTATACTGTTTTTGAACTTTTATCAACTTGATTTTGTTTTTCATAACCCGTGCTCAAAGGGTAAAAGGGTACATATGTACATAGTTTGCAATAAACACAGCTATAGTAGAGTGTAATTATCACGTAAACACTTTGCTGTAACAAATAATATGGCCCATGAAAACTTCAATATAACCAGGTGCAATGTATTAAGTATAAACAAATTAAGAACTTTGTAAGCGGCCTAGTAATAGATATGTAAGATATGTAAGTATGTACATATCTAATTTCTCCCTTGTGATCATTAAAACAAGTCAAGGTCATTCAAACATGTTATTAGTTAGTATATTGTACATTGTTCTAATTGTTTTGTTATTTTTTTTGCTAGAAGTCAGGGTATGAAGAATTTTGTTGACACTATTCCACATCAGCCACTAAATGATTAAAAACATATTTCTCGGAATTGTATCTATCAGATTTCAGTGGAAAGTTTTCTTAATGACTTGAATATTATTTTCCACACCTCTTCTGCTTTCTAGCATTTTAATATTCCCGTCAAATTTTTTGCAATAGTATGCCTTTGGCATAACGAATTTCCAAGTGAAAAATAAAAAATATTTTATGTAACCAGAGGGGGTGATTCACGAATCCCTGACATGATTACCTTGCTACCTACTGCCATGGACTTGAATAGAGACTTCAGTTATAGCTAATTAATAGTTTGTTCAGCTATTTAGTTGTCTCCGCTATCCGCGGCTCGTCATTTTAGCTGTCAAGCTGTTCATTGAACTGATCGCTCGAATATGGGATTAAAGGGCAAGCCCTTAGCTAACAAGTACTTGGCTGACGGGCTCAATGAATCCAATGTGACGTATGTGCAACACATGCAAGCAATTAGAGATAAGTGCAGGGCTCTAATAACAACCATAAATATGCTAAATCCTTAAATACCATGTTCGAATCTTTATATCACTAGATTGGGGGCAATTGCTCGTAAGTTCACGAATCAAGCACCCTTTAACAAAAGCGATACAGTACCAAGAGTGGATTGGGGGGGCAAGGTGAGCGAGTTTCTGGGTAAAGATAACAAAGATAATTAAATTGCAACTACAGTAGTTTTATTAGCGCTCGTTAAGAGCCTGTTTGTTTGCCAGAGATATCAGATATTTACTGTTTCATATAACAGCGATTAAAGGCGATAATGCAGTTATTTAAATGCGAACTCTAAGTACCAGGTACGCACAATAGAAATCTAGCACACATGTCAAGCCTTCAAGCCCCAACATGTGCATATATTCCCAACAAAAGTTTTCCCACACACTTATCTAATGACTGCTCATCAATCGAAATCGTATTTCATTTATTGCTAGTCCCATTAAAATGGGCTACAATAGCTTTATTTAAGTCCCCCAATGTGATGGGCAACAAAAACACAATAAAAAGCAATTTGATAAACATTTGCTTCTGAAATTGATGTTAATATTCATATTCCTAACCAAGAAGCCATTGTTAAAATATGACAACAAAAAACGTCCCTTTCAGTACGTAAAGTTCTAAGGTTTTTAAAGGAACAAACTTTACAAATTCTACAAGTATATCATGAATGCAATGTTACTTGATTGAATACTAAGAATGTAACTTGAAAGAAAGAAAGAATTCAATCCTAAAATTTAATGTTCTTTGCGAATTAGTTTTCAAACCTTACATGGAAAATAACCCAAAATTATAAGCAAATTGTTTACTTACTATTTTAGTGACCAAAAAAATCTTATTCTATTTTCAAATTTTATTCTTATTTATTCTTTTTTCAATTAAATAAAAAAAATATTGTGACAGCCCTCCTAATTGATGGCAAATCGAGATTAAAATTGTAAAATTTCGGATAAATTAAATTGAATAAAAATAAATTGTGAAATTTCTGACAAATTAAATTAAATTAAAAAAAATATTGTGACAGCCCTCCTCTGCGATTCTCATACCAAGTACCTAAGTGATGGCAAATCGAGATTTAAGTTGTGAAATTTCTGATAAATTAAATTAAATAAAAATAAATTGTGAAATTTCTGACAAATTAAATTATATAAAAGTAAATTGTATAATTTCGGATAAATTAAATTAGATCAAAATGAATTATGAAATTTCTAAAAAATTAAATAAAAAAAAATTGTGGCCGCTCTCCACTGCGATTCTCATACCAAGTACCTAAGTGATGGCAAATTGAGATTAAAGTTATGAAATTTCTAAAAAATTAAATAAAAATAAATTGTGAAATTATTGACAAATTAAATTAAATAAAAAAATATTCTCATACCAAGTACTTGAGTGATGGCAAATGAGAATTGAATTGTGCAATTTCTAACAAATTATATTAAAATATTGGGGAATTAAGATGTGAATTTTCTAATCAATTTTGTGTATATATAGACGTCTTAAATATTAATTAGAAATACTTTGTCAACATTTTTACCAGCTCTAGCTAATGGTGAGTCATATGACACAATTATATTTGAAATGCAAGTTAATTGCAGAGCTTTTTGACAAGTCATTTGTTTGCCAGAGTTGACAGAATTACTTGCATTATTCCAGCACTGAGGTCGTGACAATCTGTCCAGCTACAATCAATATGCAAATCAAATCAAATCCACCCCCAACCGGGCCGGCACTTTGGCACGCGTTTCAATGCTTAGTTCCGTAAAGTGGCGCTTATGTAAAAATATTTATATTTTTTGTACCATTTAGTTATAATATGTGCATATTTAATTTTCAATTTGATGCCAAATTCGAAATGAGGCTCTTATGTTTGTTTATTTCATTTAAATGAAGATATTAAGATTGCAATTCTGTAAAAAGGTAGTTTGAACGTAGGACAAAATTCTATTAAATGAGTGAGCCACGAGAATAATTAACAAAAATCTTCTGTCCATCTGTTCGGTCCTCCGTCCATCGTAATATTCCGTTCAATTAAAGTCGGTTCAGTATAACATATGGCTTTAAAGAAGCTATTTCTTTGGGTGCAGTAATTTAGAAATTGATTGCTAGCTTTGCCAGCTGCGATGGAAACCCAACTAGTATCAGACATAAAACAAATATTTGCTTTTGAGAGGCTATTTCAGTAGGAGAAGGCGGAGGTCCTTGCAATACCGACCATTGCACCAAAGTCAATTGATTTGCGAACGCGAAAAGCAGGTTCAACATTTCTCTTTCTCAATCAAATAGAAATACCTGGAGATATTGACAAAGACAGCATTGGTGAGCAGTCTAGTAGCTGGGAATGAAATGAGATTTCTATAGCGCCTCATCATAATCTGAAGTTTCGTCAAAATCGGCTCACTATATCATATATACGAGTATAGCTGCCATAGCAACAATTGGTACAACAAAGTTTTTTTTAGTTTAATGACAGTAGCGGGGAAAAGGATATATACAAGGTATTCAAGAGTTGGGTGGAGGACGTTATTTATAGCTCGACCTACATAGATTATAGATAAGCAAAGCCCAGGAAAAAGGTCAACTCGAGTTCGAATATATGCTTTGTTTGACGCTCGATATAGGAGCCTAATAAAATACTCTTCATTCAAACTGTGCTAAGGTTTACAACGCAAAGAGTTGTTGAAATACACTTAAGATTAGTTTCTAATCCTGCCATATGTATTATCAACCGAGACAAAAATAATACAAATTTAATTCATAAATACCAGTTGAGACCGATGTTGATGAATGAACTAAAGCAGATACTAATAATTTTCTATCAATGTTTTCTTATTTATGCTTCAAAAAAATACTTTCTTAGCTCTCAATAAATTGTTTTCCTAGCCCGCGATGAGCAAATAAAGTACAGTACAGTATCGCTTTAATTTCAACATCATTACTTTTTCAAATTCATTAAACTATAGAAATATAATAGCATGATTCCACAACAAAATAATGAGTTTAGTGCTCGCAGATTATTTGCAGCCTGAGTTGAGATTAGAAAGACGGAACTTTCGTTTTTATTTGCACATGCGGTAATAAGTTGTTGATTTTTGTTTGCTTTAATGCTCTAGAAAGTCAAAGGTCATCAAATTTGTTTACACGTATTCTAATGTTTGATGTTTAATGAGCTAGGAGCGGAAATTCAAACAGCACGTGATAGTGTCACCTTCTAAGGCTATAATTCTGAATAAAAATCTACAAAAAATATTGGTTTTTAAAGCAATTCAATAATTTTTACTAAAAAGGAAACACCAACCGCTTTTTATGACGCTATAAAAATTTTCCACTCAAAACATGATAGTAGCGAAAGAATAATAATAAAAAATCAAATTCTTGGTCATATATATTCGCAGCTATTGTTGCGCGCCTTTGCTCTTTCTCTATTAAAAAAACACTTGGCGCGTACAGTGTTTGCTAATGAGCACATCAAGGGGAAGAGCTCGAGATGGAGCTTGAGCTGGAGCTGGAGCTGAGGGTGGGGATGGGGGTGGGTGTGGGGGTGGGCCTTACCAGTATATCGGCTTTGAATCTACCAGTGGAGCAGTCAGTAAATGCAAAAGTCATTTGGCAACTAATTAAGCCATGTGTGCCAAGTCTCTGAGTCTGCTGCTGCGGCTTCAAATGACTCGGCAATATACATATCTATATACATATATGTATGTATTTATATATGTATATTCGATTGGTATGATCGGCTGATTGGCATGCATGATAGCGAACTGCAAGCTTGCCAAGTGAATGGACGACGAGCCAGCCGACCAGCCGGCAAGCCCAAATGTCGAGCTTAGATAGAATTGCAAACCAATGTATGAATGAAAATGTTTAGAATTTCGGGACGGTTCCGCGAAGAGGGAAGAGCGCGGGAGATCACCAGAGATATGTTTATGAGGATGAAACCAAATTGGCGGTCTACCTGACGCCGGTCGCGTACACAACTGGCGTTTGATGAATTTCAATTGGGCCAAGCGGAAAGCGGACTTTGGCTTACAGGAGCTGTATCTTCATTCGGCGATCCATGCTAGTGATGAAATTAATTATGTGCCAAAACACTGATTTGATTTCTTCTTGCTATTGTCTTTCTTTAAAAGTTAATTATTGGTATAAAAAGGGTTAAAAAGAGACTACGTTTCGGACAATCATTTGTTGGTTTTCATATGATGTTAGGCTTTCTTATCTTTTAAGTTTAGTTTAAATTGTTATATTAAGTTATATATATATTATAATATAATAAATTATATATATATATATAATATAATCGACAGTATTATTGTTGATATTCTGAATAAAAAATAAAATTAAAAAATATAAAAAAATTATAATAATCTCAACAGAACTGCCACAATCTACAATCTCGTAGGCAGTCTCTTTCCACGCTGGGTAAAAAATTTTCCACTAAATTATTTAAGCCAAGTATTTTTTAGAATAAACCGTCCTTTGTTTAAGTAATTGTTTTATAATTTTTGCTTGTTAAGTCTATTATCCTAAATAAAATTTATCCAACGTTATGGAGGCTTTATTAAATATTATTATAAGAGTATTTTTTAGGGTTTCACAGCATTTAAGTTGAAATTTTAACGTATTGCATAACTCAAGATCTCCGAAGCTACTCTATCTTATAAGTATTCCTAGTAGTTTTTACTTGTATAATTTTTCTAAATAATCATATATAATTAAGCTAAAAAGCCAGGTTTCCAAAGATGTCATCTTCAATTAACAAAATTCTAAGCCCTCTAAACACGTTTATGTATATTATATATACAAATTGTAAATTGTAATTGTAAGTTTATATTTTCGTCACTAGGCGGTTCTTCTTCTATTCCGTTTTGTTTGTCTGTTAGATGGAACTTATGCGTCACTTTCTTCTGCCCAGTTTACTTTATATGGAGGAAAGCTCTGATAGCCCAGCTTGAACACTATGCCGCCGGAAATCAAAGTACGGGTAATATATGTATGTGGAGAATATGTGTTTGACGTAAGAGCCATTTGATTGGCATGCGGAACACGTACAGTGGGCTATGACTTGTGTAAAATGACACAAAAAGGTGCAGGTAAATGAGGTACGCCAAAAGAAAAGCAATGGTTTGTGCATCATAATGGTGATCAATTGTTTTGGGCATTTTTTATTTGAATTGCCACCAAGTTGAACAAACTTGATTGCGAATTAATATCGGGACGGGCACTGCATTGAAATTGATTTAAGGTGAATGGACGGGTAAAGGCTCAGATGCAGTGAGAGAAATGCAAATTGAAACCAGCTCTAGTCCGCACGCTATATATGTATATACATACTACACTTTAAGCAGCGTACTTATCGCCCACTGGCAGTGGAGGAAATGTTTTGCCACAGTAAACTTGAAACTACTACTAGCATTCCCTTTTACCCTTCGGGTTCAGGGCATAAAAAAAATATGCGACAATAATATGAAAGCCAGACTACTGCAAATGGCATAAGTACATAAGTGTATCTGTGTATGGCTTATCAAAATGATAAGCTGAACAAAAAAAATATGCAATTGCAAAGCGAAGCGAAACTATAAGCTCATTAAATTGAAATGCCAATTGAGCGCATTGAGTGGCTATTTTCTAAGGCGACAAGATTTAAAAGTGCATAGAAAATACGAAAACAACAAAGTCCGGAACTAAAACACAATGCAAATATGCACCAATACATGTTCCTACACTTAAAAGGTGGGGGCCAAAAGGTGAATGCAAGCTATTTCGCATTCAAGCTGTTAAGCAACGCTTAAGAACCTTTATAGGCCGTAAATAAACCTTAACTAGATCAGGTAATGAATGCCAATATATCGGCAATGTGTCGAAACCCACTAAACTAATTTGCATGCGCAAGAATTGCATTATACAATGATGGCGTAGCAGTGCTGTAGATAACAATAATCATAATAATAATAATAATTGAAGCCCCAAGACCAAGGAACAACACAATCAGCAGCGTCACAGAGAATTGACTTTGTACGACGTCTAGTTGCATGGATGCAATAACTTAATGCACAGTCGATGATTAATAAAAATAGCCGCAGTTGGTTGTACAATACAAATTACTCACATATGCATGAAAAAAGCACAATTACGATTGTATTTTAAATATACTTTATGTATTTATATAAACAACTTATTTACGCGCAGAAACTATTTCGTACGCTTGCAACTGCAGTAAAAATACAACTAAAGCCATCCAGCCGGGAGAAATACAGAAAACAAAAACTAGAATGAAAACAAAGCGCAATAAAGCGCTGAAGGAGGGTGAAAGCGTGCTTGGGGGATGAAATGGTTGCACTTGGCTTAGGCGCCCAAATGTTTTAAAAATTCAAATGTGACAGCACACAACAGGTGGCGCCACACTGTTTTTAGTACTTCACACGTATACCAACACTGAACAACTGCCAACAACAGCTGTAGTTGCGTTGTTGCCACATTTTCCGATTAGCAGTAATTTGCACGCTGTCTTTGTTTATGTTGTTGACCCGCAATTTATTTCGGAAGTTTAGGCCGATTTAATCTCTTAAAATGAAAATATCTCGTTTTAAGAAGTCCCACAAGACACTCATGTACTTTGCCACACACTTCAGCTATCGCGAGCCCTATCAAGTACTTGTCGACGCAACGTTTTGTCAAGCCGCTCTACAGGTTTGTTTAACGACAGCAACAAAGTATGGACGAATAAACGACATTTTTTGCTTGCAGCACAAGGTTGTTATTGAGGAGCAGATCAAGAAGTACTTCCAATGCAATGTGAAATTGTTGACCACACAGTGCATCATTCTGGAGTCCGAGGCTTTGGGAGCTCCTCTCACAGGCGCCACAATGATTGTTAAAAAGTTTTATGTTCACAAATGCGGGCACGAGGCCAGTGGACCAGTGAGCGCAGCCGAGTGCATCAGGTCCATGGTGAGTTACCACACCATAATGCTGCATTTATCAAGACAATAAGAGCTCTTGCCATGTTTACAGACGAAAGACAGCCGCTATATTGTGGCCTCCCAGGATCGTCTGCTACAGGAAAGTCTTCGCAAGATTCCAGGTCGCTGTTTACTTTATCTGCACAAAGCCACGCCAGTGCTGGAAGCGCCATCGGCGGCCTCAAAAAAATGGGTAAACAAACGGGCTAAGAAATTAATGATAGGCGGAGACAAAAAGAAAATTGAGGAACTGAAGGTTCAACAAGGCCTGAAACAGACAGACAACAAGCCGGCGCCGGAGAAGAAACGCAAGGGACCAAAAAATCCTAATCCGTTGTCATGCAAGAAGAGTAAGAAAGTGAAGGCCACATCAAAGCCTGTACTGCACCAAGTGGAGAAAACAACGCCTATGAAAGCGGATCAAGATTCCGGCGCACGTCAAAAATGAAATCGCATTAGGCAAAGATTAAAATAACAAGTACCAGTACCTATTAAAATAAGTAACGACTCAGTACGTACAAAATTGTATAATTTATACACCTCTGCGTACATTTGTACATTAGATACAAAAATGAGAATTGTATTTTACATCTTGCCCTCGCGTATTTTGTTCAAAGTCTTCTCAGTCATAAATTGACCCAAAATTTTGGTAAGTGTTGGATTACGAGCGCAATAGGCTATGGCATTGACCGGAAACAGACCGCACCAGGTGAAGTCCATTTTATTGGCAATAGCAGTAGCAAACAGTTCGCCACAACGCTCGGCCGTCATGCGCTTCTGATTGGCAGTGCTGAGTCCCACTTTCTCACCTTGGGAGCCGGTGAAGGCTTCCTGCAGAAAATTTGTTGCAATGGGTCCTGGCGAGAAGATGCTTACTTCCAACTTAGGCTGCTCCACTTTCAGAGCCCGTAGATAGGCATTCAAGGCATGCTTGGCAGCGCAATAGGTGGCCGAGAATGGCACCACCCCAAACCCGGCGACACTGGATGTGGCCGCAATATGCCCACGACCACCAGTCTGCTCCAAAAAGTAACGCACGACATGGCGTGTCAGGTGCACTACCGCGAACACGTCCAGCTCGAACAGATCGCGATCCACCTCTATCTCAATATCTGCCCAATTGGCGCGTTGCGAGCGTCCCGCATTGTTGACCAACACGTCCAGGCGCTCGAAATGGTTCAACACCTTATTCAGGTGCGACTGATGCTGCTCCAGCTGCAGCATATCCATGGGCAGGATGAAGACATCCTTCTGCGCCAGCAAGCCACGAGCCACGGCAATGCACTCCGCCTGCACCTCCTCCAGCTGACTCACCCGACGCGCACTCAGCACCAAACGCACTCCGTGCCGCGCCAAACTTATGGCCAGCGCTCGTCCAATGCCGCTTGAGGCACCCGTTATCCAAACCACCTGTCCGCGCATCGACGACAACGAGACGCCGAAACGTGATTTATACCACAGCGCCACATTACAATCGAGCACGAGCCAGAGCACCACATAGAGGAAATAGTACAGCACCAGAGCGATGAACAGCAACTCGAGGAAGGCCATTGCAAGACCAAATAAAAAATAAATGTACCTTGCCCTTGCCGCAACGAAAACTAAATAAATACAGAAATGATCTGCCCGTCTCGTCCGACAGGCAGATAAGAAACACCGAGCGATCAGCTGTTATCGTTAGCGCATCGTCGCACAGTGGGCTGAAGCCGGCAAAACTGTAAAATCACAGCTAGTAATTCTCTTACATTCCCATTCCCTAGTCAAATGGTTAATTAAATATGTAATGGGAATATTTACTACTCTATATGAATTCTTTCTTGATAAACAAATTGGTTTCCTCTTAGGAAACGACTTTTTTTAAAACAAAAATTAAAAATTGCGATCGTTGATCGATTCAGGTATTTTATCATTCATGATTCCAACCCATACAAATGCAGAAAATAGAAATCTCATACGAAAATCCATATACGTTTTGTTTGGCAATTGCATTAAAAGAACCCATTTCTTTTTATATGCAAATTAATGTTGTTTTAGCTACCACAACTGTCCAGATAATTAGTTCCATATCAATTAAGGATTCCAAATGAAATAACAAAAAAATAATAAAAAAATTAAGTTATCGACTAATTGTTCTTAACCGTCACACTCAATATACGAACTACAAAAAAAATGCATTTATAAACTAGGATAACATTTGGGTCCGAACTGATTAATTTTTTCAAAAATTTACCAAGTGACGTTTTTCTAAGCTCCTATCTCACAACCGAATATCGTCACCTTATTATCCTGCTACTCACACAATCAAATACCCACACCAATACACACATGTAGTAGATCAGTAAATTCAAATTTGTACATTGTAAACATTTACTTTTTCTCACATTTTCAAATATAAACTTTAGACTAACTTTCTTAAAATGTAAGTGCAAAATTAGTTAATCATTTTATTACGTTTGCATCACTTCGGTCAGATTCCCGCATACCTTCTCGATCTCTGCATAGCCCGCATTTTCCAGCGACAAAATGGCATTGACCAGTCCCAGAGTGTCTCGTGGCGTGTGCGCCTTCACCCAGATGCGTCCGTTAACTCCCACAGCGATCTCGTAGGGCAATTCTTCATTCAACGCTCCCAATGCCGGGCAATTCTCTCGCAGCAGCATGCGTCCCAGATTCAGGCTGCACTTGAAGAAGAATCCATCTTGGAGCACGCCCAGTTTGCCCCGCTTGCCATTCGAATTAACGCACACCAGCTCTGGTTCAATGTCTGCGTTAGCATTTAGTACTCGTGCGTATATCATGTCCCCAGGGTTGAGATCTGGCCGGTTCTTTTTTGTGGCCGCCTCAAAAGCGAGATACGAAATGGTCGCCACATCTGCCGAGCCAATGTCTACGCGGTATACATCGCCCGCCTTGGCACGCACTATGCCAAGCACTAAATCGCCTCGTGCCGGCACATATCGTCGCTGATAGTTGTCCACCCAGAAGGTGTTCGGCTCCTTATGGCGCAGCGGTCCTGCTTTGCTAGCCACTACTTTGTCGTCTAGTCGCCGAAGTCCAGGTCCCAGTATGACGCGCTTTGTCTTAGCCAGATCCTCGATGGAACTGACACGATCGCCAGGCATTACAAAGTTGCTACTTGTCATAATCAAATTTGTTTATACTGAAGCGCGTTCCAAATCAAAAAACAATGCCGGTCCCATGTGCTGCCAATCAGCTGACGCTAAGAAACCGCGTTGCCAACTACACAAAACTATTTATAGTGCTGCACAACGTAGTAATTTTGCAGGTCCAGCTGCAAATATTACCAATTAGATTGTGTTTTTAAAAACCGAATCGTTTTAACCGTTAAAAATGCAATTAAAAGCCATTTCCACAAATTTCTTTACAGTTCAGCATCCTAATACAGACATAATTGGATATTTTTAGGCCTAACCTTGCACGAAGGTCAACTTGAACGCCACCCCCCACCAGTATATACGCACAGGCCAACCGGCGCAGATCTGGAGACCAGGGCCATATAGTAACGCGCAGTGAATCGGAAGTTTACGTTCCACAAATACAAAAACAACACGAACGATGGCATGTATTATGGCGCTTCGTGCTCTGCGGCGCAGCCCCAACAACAACACTTGGCTGCAGCCATCAACAGCGACGACGTCGACCACAACAACTACATCTACATCGCTAGAGAAGGGAAAACAGCCAGTCGCTTTCTCATTGCTGTCGTCGTCGGTTGCTTTCAGTAGCTATTCAGCCAGCAAACCCGGAAGCTCGGTAGCGTCGCTCTCATCTGGATTTAAATTTCTGCAATTCAAAAGTTCTTGGTATGTATACGTGTACTATGTATATGTGGGTGTGTGCTCTAAGTAATAATTTTTATTTTTGGTGTTCAATTGAAAGTGCAACCACAATTATTATTGTTTGTTAAACGTGCTGCAAATTTTCTGTAAGCTCGGCGATAGCGATTATCTAACAATGTTTTTGCACACATTTGAAGTGGCCAAGTTTGGGCGTTTCTGATTGATTTTCCTACCTTCTATTCGGGAATAAGTTATCATTTCTACTGTTAATTATTGCAACTGACAATACAGCTTAGTTGTTTTATATATTTTACTTTTGCCAATGCAATTTTATGAGCCGCTTTCCGGCTTCAGTTTTCACATTACTTTGCTGTGACCTTAACGCGCTGCGTAGAGGTCATTCGATGCGAGCGCGAGAGAGCGTTTGAATAAAAAAGCGGTGTGGAGAGAGGGGGTGGTTTATTTTTGTATGAGAAAATGCCGCATGTTTTAATATTTATTGCATTTTTCTCTTTTGTTTGTTGGGAAACACAAGTGAAAGTATCAAATTAAAGTTTTAAGATCGTATTTATTTATATGCATAAGTACATATATATGAGATATGTATGTGTGTGCAACTATGGAAAGAACCAGAACCCTCAGCCAGCTTGTTAATCACAGTTCAAGTGAATAATTGAATTAAGCTTATGGCGGCTAGCTTATCATCTCATAATGCCAGTTTGTCTGATTTCGACAATTGTGGTCCAAGTTCCATGCATCCACATATACATACATTCATATATGTATATTTAAAAAAAAAAATTGGTTTGTTCCCTCTTAAGTAAAAAGACTCCAAAAACAATGAAAATTACAAATAATCAATCATAATCGATCAGTTCGCAAAGGATTGCTGAATTATAAGCAGGAGTGTAGGGATTATGGGAAATAAATAATAAGTCTAATAGCTCTTGTTCTTAACCATTCTTGAGTTCATTAAGACAGCTAGATAGGCAAATCGAAACTCATGCTGATCCAAATTATATATGTATGCATCTATATATACATTTATAATACATACATATATACTTTGTAGAGTCTGCGATCTCCTTATATAGTTATTTTAAAAATGAAACGGAATAGCTTATTGCAGGTTATATCGCGACAATATACAATATTTATGCCCGTTTTATTTGTACTTACAGTTCAGGCGAAAACATGCCCATTAAGTCGATCAAAGCACGTCAAATCTATGACTCGCGTGGCAACCCCACCGTCGAGGTCGATCTCACCACGGAGCTAGGTCTCTTCCGTGCTGCCGTGCCCTCCGGCGCCTCCACCGGTGTCCATGAGGCTTTGGAGCTGCGCGATGGTGACAAGGCCAACTACCATGGCAAGAGTGTGTTGAAGGCCGTTGGCCACGTCAACGACTCCATCGGTCCTGAGCTGATCAAGGCCAATTTGGATGTGGTCGATCAGGCTGCCATTGACAACTTCATGATCAAGCTCGATGGTACCGAGAACAAGAGCAAATTCGGCGCTAATGCCATTCTGGGTGTTTCCCTGGCCGTTGCCAAGGCTGGCGCTGCCAAGAAGAACATCCCTCTATACAAACACATTGCCGACTTGGCTGGCAACAAGGAGATCATCCTGCCAGTTCCTGCCTTCAATGTGATCAACGGCGGCAGCCATGCTGGCAACAAGCTGGCCATGCAGGAATTCATGATCCTGCCAACCGGCGCCACCAGCTTCACTGAGGCCATGAAGATGGGCTCAGAGGTGTACCACCATCTGAAGAACGTGATCAAGGCCAAGTTCGGTTTGGATGCCACCGCTGTTGGTGATGAGGGTGGCTTTGCCCCCAACATTCAGTCGAACAAGGAGGCCCTGAACCTGATCAGTGATGCCATTGCTAAGGCCGGCTACACCGGCAAGGTGAGACAAATGTCAATGACCCCATCGACCTAAACTGAAACTTTCTTTTTCGCTGCAGATTGAGATCGGCATGGATGTTGCCGCTTCTGAGTTCTTCAGAGACGGCCAGTACGATCTGGACTTCAAGAACCCACAGAGCGACAAGGCACAGTGGCTGTCGCCCGAGAAGTTGGCCAATCTGTACCAGGAGTTCATCAAGGACTTCCCCATTGTGTCCATTGAGGATCCCTTCGATCAGGATCATTGGGATGCCTGGACAGCTCTGACCGGCGCTACCAAGATCCAAATTGTCGGCGATGACTTGACAGTCACCAACCCCAAGCGCATTGCCACTGCCGTGGAGAAGAAGGCCTGCAACTGCCTGTTGCTGAAGGTCAACCAGATCGGCACAGTCACTGAATCCATTCAGGCTCATCTGTTGGCCAAGAAGAACGGTTGGGGCACCATGGTCTCTCACCGCTCCGGCGAAACCGAGGACTCCTTCATTGGTGATTTGGTTGTGGGTCTCTCGACCGGCCAGATCAAGACCGGCGCTCCCTGCCGCTCGGAGCGTCTGGCCAAGTACAACCAGATCTTGCGCATTGAGGAGGAGATCGGCAGTGGTGTGAAGTTCGCTGGCAAATGCTTCAGAAATCCTCAGTAAGCCATTAAACAGCACTTCAAAATTCCAAACAAAACCACGCCAACCACAACACGCCGCCACAAACTAAGAACGCCACAATAAAGTGAAAAAGGCGAGGTTGTGCGAATTTCGCAAATTCGGTGTATGTGTGTTCATCAATCTTTCGATTTGTGTCTGGCGCACAAAGCCTCAAATATACATAGATTACCAAAACTTTAGCTGTCCTTCTTTTGCTTCGTTGTTCATATAGACACTATTGTTATGTATAACATGATCTAATCATTATTTATATACAAATAAATTACGTATGCTACTTTAAACTGTCGAAACAGGACAGCTCCAAAACAAAGACACGAATAAGTATATCATTGTAGTCGTTGGAATTTCTTCGAAATTAGAAATACATACACACCCATTGAACAGAGAGTACATAACATAATAAATTATACTGAATTGTTGTTGAGACATGCATAGAACTTAAGCATTCAAGTTGTTCAACTCAATAAATTGTTCTTTAACCACCAAACCACCCACACAAAATATACAAACTCCATGAAAGTTTTATTCATAAATGTTATACAATGTGTGTATGCTTATAAAAGTGAAATAAAATTGGTTCAAAATACATACATAAATATAGTATACTTATCAGATGATGATTCATGAAGAGCAAACGAAACACGACCAGTTTTAGATGAAATTGAATTAATAAGTTCGCCACTTTATTACGATTTGTTATTTCCCTTTCGAGTGACCTTCACAGATGCGGGGATGGGGGCGCGAGAAAATGAAATCACTATTTAGAGGTCATGAATTTCGTACCTGAACCTCATTATACGTCAGCACGTCGAGCTGTCAAGATATTTGTATTTAATTGTTATGCTTTCGATCAAACTATTGATTGTTATTTATTTGTTGAGCCAAGGAAAAAGAACGTACCCTTTCGGGATATATAAAATGGATTTAATTGTCCACACAGTAGCCAAAATATTTGATTGGTAGGATGGACAAATTATTTTGAAATTGATATTTCAATTGATCATTAAACCTGTCTATGGATTGTTTAAATTTGCGGTCGCTTGTACGGGTTATCTGGACAGATGCAGGCCTGGTCACCGGCCTAGCTTAAATTATTAATGTATTTTAAATGGTTTCTGTTTTATTTCAGTTAATGGGAAATAAATAGCTTTTAAAATATAGCCCTTGTAATTGTATATAGCTGATTTATAAAATAAAAGTCCAAGTTAATTTTTAAGCGTTAAGTTAGCATTGTGAACTTTTTCTTTTTTATTTTAGTAATAAAAAAAATTAAGTAACAAGTATGTTATAAATGCAGACCTAATTCAAGTTTTTTAATCACCACTGTGGTAGATTCCGCAATCATGTGGTGAAATTGAAAGAGCGCCACCTGGCGTTCATTCGGGCCACCCATTTTGCATTTAAGTTCAATGACATTTAACATTTATTGTGTTATGAAAGCAAAAAGGCTTATGTGAATATACTATGTTAATAGCCATTTGGATACCAGACACCACCAAGAAAGGGCTTTAGCTACTTTTTACTATGTTATTAAATAACATACAATATAGTAAGAAATAATCATGAAAGGTTAACATTTTGTAAGAAAACTGGCTGAATATACTTACTTATGAAAAGTTGTCTATCAATTCTACCCCAAATTTCACACCACACATGCATATAGTATAAACGTTTATTTCCAATTTATTATTTTAAGCCGATAAAAATAAATACCCACCGATAAAAAACTGCATTACAATTTAAATAAAATCGTAGTCGATTTATTGTTCGATAACGTGACTTATAATAAAAATACTCAGTTTAATATTTAACAAAATTAAAAGCAATGAATATGAGTACGCAGTTACGTAAAGCTATGCAGGATAAATTGTTAAAAGTTTAACAAATATTATAATAAGTAAGTCATATTAAGTTTAATTAGCACAATGTGAGAATGAGTTGGTGGGGGAACACAATGTAGACACAAACTAAGCTAACTGTGTATATAGACAAACGCTATAGTCTAAAAAACGTTGTAGTCTAATTAAAAACTAAGGCACCGTGTTGGTTGCAATCGCAATGGGCCACGTCGTTGGTCCCTTTAGTACGATATCCTCCAAGGCATGCTTTATTTTGATAAAGCGACGTTTGAATTCCAGGCCACAGCCTTTCGATAGTCTGAAATCGACCAGAATTTTGCCATCCATTTCAATGATGTGTGCCTTAAAGACCAGGCGAAGCTTCCGCCTATCAATTGTGGACACTGTGACAACGCCCTCGTCGTTGACCTTGCAGGTGTAGCCACCAAGACGTTCGATGGTGCTCACCAGCCGCTTGATGGTGTCATCCCATCGGGTGGTCACAAAGAAGCGAGTCATGCGTCGCACCAAGCGTTGGAAGTAGTTCTGCGAGGCAGTCTGTGTTTGATTCATTTGTGTGGCTAGCAACAGATCATCCAGCAGGGCCGGCTGTGAGAAACAATAGCTCAACCGTGCCTCCTGCGCAATGGCCAGATGCTCGTCTTCCCCTTCATTTCCGCCATTCAAGCGACGCTTGCCCAACTTAACATCAAAGTCATCATCGTTGCGCATTGTTGGCATCGGCTGCGAACAATAGTTGCGCGATATGGAATCGTCCAGATTGTGACTAAGATGAGCGCTAGACTGCAAGCGCTGACGCTTGGCCTTGGGTGAGCAGATCTCCAAGGCGGCTGCAGAGTCCACGAGGTCGAAGGAGCGATCTTTGAAGAAAAAAAAAAGCAAATATTATAGAAAGATAGTTACGCATTTGCTTGAATATTTAAAACAAATTAAATGAAATGCACGTAATACAAATAAATTAAAATTGCAAATAAACGAAAGCAACGCAAAAACCATTTGGTTTTTGGTAATAAAGCTCTATGGAATATTTAAACACCATACAGCTAAAATCACCAAAGAGCAAATAATATGCAAAACATAAAAGAAAAACTGAAGAGGCAAAATTGAAGGTACCACTACATTCGATCGATCACTTGTTAAGTCCGTCGTTTGGGCCACAATCGTCAATGCTTTGGTAATCTAGCTTTATGAAGTAGTCAAATCTATCATACAGCTAAAGCGCCAAAGCATCGAAAATGCACCGATTGCACAACACTGTTTCAAGTTATTTTCAACACTGTTGAATCAAATTTGGAGCGTCGCTTATGCATTCCACTTGCAGCGCAGGCACACAGTTACTCTCAAGATATGAAAAACTCCATTGAGAGTCACTAAGTACCTGACCAGCAATGTGTGCATAATAAATGTTTTCTCCTCTTTTTTAACACGGGTTTCATAACTATACAACACTGGCCAATTCAACTTACCATTATCCGCAAACTGCATGTTACACCACTTGTGATCGAGTATTTTGTCGAGAGTGAGGCGCGCATTGGGGTTTGTGGCCAGCACTTTGCGCAGCAATGAAATGGCTAATGTGTCCAGCTTGCTCCATGGCGTCTGTGTCTGCCACCGATTATTGTCCTTCCAAATTATGAATTCGGGACAATTACTAGATGGCTGGTCCCAGGGCAGCTCTGCAAATACAGCAAGTTAAAAGGATTAGTATAAAAAAGGTAAGCTTCTTTAATTTTGGTACACGATTAGCGTAACGATTTCAATAATGTTGAAAACTATGGATGTGCCTGATCAATAATAATCAATTAATGATTTAGGTATCGGAAATTAAAAACACGCAGATTCATAAATATACAATATGCAAACGCGGTATTATTTAGTAAATTATAAATGTATGATGGATTAATTTAGTGTAGGCACTTTACACATTTAAATTGGTTGCTTTGTAACTAAAACAAAATTGCAAATGAAAAAAAATCTTAAGCACTTAAAAAAAATTTGGAATCATTTAACATTTAAATGAGCTGTATTTATAGATGCATATGTATGTATTTATACAAATTGGAAATGTGAAAACAAATGAAACCCATTTACACGTCAGGGCTAACAGATTAAAGGGCTTTCAAATGTGCGTTTGCGATTTGCAGTGTTGCAGTAATGCCATGCGAATATATTATTCAAATGAGTTGTATTTATATAAATGCAAAAAAAGTGGTTTATACTGTTTAAATTTTTGCGTGCAATGTGTACAACATAATTGTTGATTTTTGTGTGCTGGTGGGTGTGCTGTTGTTTTAATCATGCAAACAGTTTACAGTTAATTATGCTTTGTTGGCAGTTATTTAATGTTGCTGTTATAGTAATTGTTGATGTAGTTGTTTGTTGGTGCGTTGGCAAGCAATTTAAGCTGGAGCTTTGGTATAAAAGCTTTAGATGATACAAATTGCAAAAACAATCTACAGCTAGAATACCAAAGAAACAGCAAAAATGAAAGTGAGAGAGAAAACACAAAACTGATATTGACACATGACTGACTGAGGCAAAGAGATAAGAGAGAGGGAGAGACTTGTAATTGTGGCTATGAGACCGGTGTAAGAACGTTCCGTTAAATTGTGCGATGATGAACGAGAGCGAGCTGGTGTGAGAGCGACCGAGAGGGCGGGTGTGTAGGCAAACGAGCAGGCAATGCAATTAAACGAGTGTTCTTCCTTGTTCTGTTCGAGTTACTGTTGTTAATGGGTATGTTTTAATAAATGTACACATATTTAAATACGTACATAATTTATAAATTACACGAGCCAACAAAAAAAAATGCACACACACTGATTGTAAAAAAATAAATAAATAAATAAAAACATAAAGCAATATGGAAATTACAATCACGGTTCCCTTTTCTTCCCTTTCTTATCTTGCTATAGCTTAATTTATTTCATTAGTTAGTACTTACCACCCGCGAGCATCGTGACTAGGATGACACCACAGGACCAAATGTCCGCAGGCTGTGCGTGGTAGGGCTTTAACAACACCTCCGGCGCCACATACGGCAACGTGCCGCAGCGCTTGTCCAGCAGTCGTTCTTTGCCTTTGCATCTGGATGGGCGAGGGACAGAAACGCAAATGTGACAGTTGGTTGGTTGGTTAGTTGGTCGTCGGCGGCAACGTTGGGGTTCGGGCATGTAAAAGGTGGACCAATAAAAGAGAGAATGAAGTGTAGGGATAAAATACAAATTAAATAAAGTGTGTCTGCAAATATCTGAGGGTCTGTGTGTGTATGTATGTATGTACGTATGTACATATGTATGTATGTGTGTTTTTGCTTAGTCAAAAGTAAAGTTAGGAAATAATTAGAAATAATAGTAAATACACACATACATACATATGTATATATGTACAAACATGGAATACATACACATATATGTTTGTATATATAAGAAGGTAATATATGTATGTAACAAGCATATATTAGAGTATGTTTGTAAAAGCTGCCAATTAATTTAAGGTATTGTTTTTCTCTCCAGCTGTTATATCAGCGAGAATGAAACTCTCTTTAATGTTAAAAAGCTCTAAGCTGCAATTCGTTGCTCTCTAAGATATTACAATTACTGAAATCTGGCAATTATGCACACATAGCTTAATAGCTAAATTTGTATGTCGAAGTCACCAAATATTGGCCGTTTTTTTGATAATCCCTACAGCTTTTTACGACAAGTGACATCTCTAGCAATTATTTGCGCATGTAAATTTGCAATGGTTGCTTTCCAGCCAGAACTCCCATACTACATTAGCAAACTGTACAACCGCACTGCACTGTCCACCGTAAAATATTCGCTGTCATCTGCATGTAATCCTGCGGGCATTGCCAACCTCATGGTTCGGGTTAGCAGCAGCGAATTAACAATGGTGTTTCCTTGCTGGCTATATCTGTTTTTTTTTTTTTTTTTTTTGCTTTGCATCTATATTTTGCACGCTTGTGTCAATTTGCCAGAGGTTTAATATACATACATATTTATATAATACATACATATACATGTACATAGTAGTTATGTATATTTTTGTACCCAATGGCTTAAATAGTAGGAAAATTGCTTGTACCTAATACCTAAACATGGTGGCCATGCCAAAATCCGAAATTTTCACATTGTCATGCTCGTCCAGTAGGAGATTCTCGGGCTTCAGGTCACGATGCGCGATGCCACGCTGATGCAAATAGTTGAGACCGGACAGGAGTTGGGTGAAGTAGCGTTGGGCCTCATGCTGTGGCATTCCTATATCGGGCTCTGTGAAATAGACGGCAATGGAAAGAAGCAGAGAAAATGAGTCAAGGGCTTGATTTACAGATATGTATGTATAAATAAGAAAAAAATATATGTATAACCACATGCATACATACATATGTACTATGTATATAGTAGATGCTATGTATGTATGGTTAATTAAAATGCGACGCTGACAAGGACAGGCTTGACAGCGCAGCAAATAACTGGGCGACAACTATAAACATGCTATGTACATGTGCGTGTCTGTATTTGCCGCCTTAATTAAATTATGTGGTAAATACAGTCGAGATTCAAGCCCGCTTGCCAACAACAATAGTAAGCACAACAAATATGCAAATTGATTAGCGCTCAACTCAACTATATTTATAAACTATTTCTAGTTGTCACACACAGCAGTCGCAGTTAAAGGGGAATATGGCACAAAACAGCAAACATACAAGAAAATCATATTAGAGATGTAGACAGTTTTTTAATCAAATTTACGCCGGAGGAATTGTTCACTGTATGATTTATATACACATTTGTATGTATGTATATCTACTAAGTACCATATATATTTTTATCTATGCTGCTTTCTAGTTTTGGTCCAGGACTCTGTGTCCAGTCGTCGGTATCCTGTTGCAGCCTGCAACGCACAAGAGACGTGCAAAAACTGAAGCTGAACTAATGGAAAATTTGTGCAGCAGTGCAAAAAGTTGGCAAACAGCAGCAACAACAGCTTCAACAACAAAAACAATAAACATCTATAGCACTCGACGCACGTGCATGTGGGTTTTGATGTTCTTGTTGTTAGTGCTGTTGTTGTAAAGGTCCTGGGGATTTTTGCGTGTGTGTGTGTGTGTTTGTGAATGCGTGTTTGTGTGCATGGCTGAGTATGAGTTTAAAAGGTGCAGGTGCAAAAAATTTGTGAAGCCCCCTGCTGCGTGTGCAGATCCTAAAGATGGCCACGTAACTAAATTCTTCAGCACGAACAAATCTTAAAACCACACCTAAAAACTCACGCAGGACTAAAGCTAGGCTTGAAGATAATAAAATTGACAATTCTGGTTGTTAGTCCAAATCATTCTTTAAATAATTCAATTATGGTCGAGCATATCATTCTTACAAGAATCGCAAACATAAATTGTCCAGAAATTATTTTTTATTTTATTTATATTATTTTTATTGGCATAAAAAATATGCGAATATATCAAAATGGTAACTATTTACTATTTATGAACTGCCCTTCTGCTGTTAGCAACATGATGAAGTGAAATCATAAAGTAAATATTCGTGGTTGTTGAAGAAATCATAATAAAGACAGAAAACAATTTTCGATCGATTCTACATCAATATTCTTTATTGAGTTTTCGGTACAGAGAAAACGGAATAAAAAATACTCTCAGAAATCAGTTTATACCCCCAAATCATTTCGGGGTTATTCTTGGGGTAGTATAAAACTGTTGCTTACGTAACATGAAGATTGAAATTTAATAAATCACATATACTTTTAAATATGAATACCTTGTTTACGAGCAGTTTGACGATCATTGCCAGAAGAATCTACTTTATAGCGTCTTTATTCGTATAATCACGACTCATGCCCATCTCTAGTTTGGCTCGGCATGTGTGTTTGTCTTGTGTGTGCACGTCTGACTGTAAGCCTCTGACTGTATTCCTCTAAGAGCTTACAACGTCATTGGCAGCCAGCAATGGCAAAACAAAAACAAAAATGCAATCAACAGTTTTATGAAAAATTAATCAAAACGACAAACAATGTAAATGTTGATTTGTGTGTGCATACATATGTGAGTGTGTTTGTTTGTACGCAACCTTTGGCCTGTGGCAAACAAAAGTTATGAGTTGTTTTTGTTGTTGCTTGAACTTTTTACCTGTTGGGCTTTTTACCTTGTGCCATCGTCTTCGCCTATCGGGCGCCGCCAACAAACCTAGACCAACTAACCAACCAACCAGGCCATCTGAAGAGCAACTCCACACTTTTGTGTATTTGAAGTGTTCTGTTTTTACTTGATGATATTTTCTTATAAAAAAGCTTTGTGGCAAAGAAAAATCATAGCGGGAACGTCAAAGGTAAACAACACAATAAGCAAAGCATAAAACCTCGACTCTGAGGCAACTTAAAAAGTAACGCAAGCACATATACGCGGCCAAAAGTGGCTCAATAACAATAGAAGCAACAAAAACAACAGCAATAGCGAGAGTTGTATTTGCCAGAGTCAGCAAGGCAGACACTCTCGGAAGTGCATTTGAGATGTGAATCGACGTAATCAACACACACACACATACACCGCACACCCACACACAGAAGGTGGTGCCCTTTTTGAATTTGCTCAAGACTGACAAATACGAAGTACATACTATACGCGTATGTATGTACACATACAAATATATAAAATATATCTTAGTCTAGGTGGCTGCAGTTGCCAGGCGACAGATTGCTTTCGATTTACCTTTCGCTTGATTGATTGTCAAACACAGTCGGCCCGCCCATCCAGCAAAGGTAAATCATTCATTCATGGAATGTTGTCTTTTGGTCGTAAGTCCCACCCTAAAACCTCCCAACAGTAGGCGTCAATTCCTTTTGTGTATATAATGCCTTTGTAGTTGGTTTTTGGTTCGTTTTCTCGAAGGTGGTTTATTGGAAACTAACACAATAGGCGACAGACAGAACTTGTGTTTATTTTATCTCACTGAGAAGTTCAACGAAAATATGTAAGAAATGGAAAACAAAGCAACTGTTAAAACAACAAAAAGCTTGCTCAACACTCGGGCCGAATGAAAAAGCGTAGAACTAAAAAATTCGTATAATAAAAATACTGGACTCGTAGCAGAAACATGTTACGATTTTATTATTTTCAATTTATACCAATATGGATTTTTAATGCAATTTTTACATACTCTGGTGTGTTAAAGTTATGTGCTTATAGAAAGAAAATTAAAGTCAAAACCAAGAAACTTTTAATGCTGTGCTGAACTTTTTTTCCCCTCATTAAAAACTCTGCTTTTAATACTTGTATATGCCCTACGAGCATAGCTTCTTGGACTAATGAACGCACTTTCCCCCCGCCAGGTCAAATATTTCCCATTTTAGTAAGCTAACATAATACTACAACATACTCTTTTATATTTCTGCATTTTTAAGCTTTCAACTTGTATTAAGTTTTTATTAGTTAACTCGCGAACTTGGCTTGCATCGCAGCGCCATTAATAAATCATTTCTTTTGAACTCGGGGTGCTCCTTGTGCTCTAAAAGGTTTCAGTTGAGTATAAAGAACAAGAACCACCACATCGGTGTTTTTAATGTAATCGTAAGATTTATTATAAGTAATTAAACCTGCTTTTGATGCTTAAAGTGGCTTTGGTTAGGAGCATAATTCAATCATTGATGTAATTAAACCATATATTGATGCTTCGGCTAATTGCTTCGTATGAGAAGCGTGAAAAAGGGCTGGTTTTTAATTCAATTCTAGCCAATATGTTTAAATCACTTTTCTGGGCTAAATGCTTAGCACGGGAATCGCCGAGAAGAGCAGTATCTGTATTTTAATATGTTGTTTATGAAATTAAACCAGGTTTTACTGCTTACAGTGACTTCGTTTAAGTGCTACGCATGAGAAGCACAGAGGAGGGGCGGTTTTAATAAACTCTACAAATTAAATTAAATACATAATACGGTTCACGATGAAGGTCGTCATTGCTCTGGCTATTAACCATGTAATTCATAATTAATTTTAAGTTACAATAATACGATATTAATTGGGAAGAGGGCTGGCTCCAAATCAACACTAAATATTTGAAATATATTGCTCTTATGTTTAACAGATGGTATATGCTTTTATTTGTCCCAGAGGCGACAAAGAACTTCAGAGTATTTCTTTATATACATACATAACATAGCTGGCCGTATAGGCTATACAAATTGTCGCTATGCTTCGAATAGCAGATTAATATTCTATGCTTTTAAGATTATTAGTATTTATTTAATTATAATAAATATACAACAAAAGTATGTCAATCTGGCATTTAAAATAGCAGGATTGTGCGTGAGTGTTTCATCTTAACTGCGAATGCGTCTGCCCATCCCTATTCCACGCGTTTCTATAAATTTAAGAGTTTACTGTAACAGTACGTGTCTGATGGCGCGCCTGTTCGGTATGCAACAAAAATTGTGCAATCTATGCGGGCAACGAAACGAAACAAATGAATTGGGAAGTCTGATGAGCGGTGGGAGGGGTGGGTCCTTGTGGCTCTGTGAATGCGCGTGTTTGCGTGTGTTTGTGTTCGCAAACTGCCAATGATATAAATAGCAACCAATATGCAAATTAAACATAATGGATACAGCTTTGCATATACAGGCATACACAAAAGCGCTTATCTGCAAATGCGAATGTGTGTGTGTGTGTATATATGTATGTATATATGTATGTATGTGTGAACGAGTGTGTTTAATTGTCTGTTTGCGCAAATGCATTCATTAAGCTTATGGCAGACAGCCGCCATACAGTTTGCCGCCCATGGTCATTTATTAATTCAATCTGTGCGTATGTACTCGTACTATAGTATGCGTAAATTATGCTTCAATTATAAATGAAATTTCAAATAATTTCCTCATTAAAGATACGCCTATAGAGTATAAATTTAAAAAGAGGTACATGAATATGTGTATGTATGTATTTATAATAATTTAGCGTTAAGTATTTTCCCCCCAGTTATATGACAGACGCAGTCTGTGCGGCTGCCTAGCTGTGTGTCTGTGGGTCTTTGCAATTAATTATGTTGAAATGCTGTTTCTGGCATATTATTTTATAGCTTTCATCTGCCACGCACTCTTCGTATACATATAGAATACGAGTATCTTCTCGCAAAGTATGGCCAAAGGGTGAATCGCTTCTGTATTCTCTCATCTTATTTGTATGCGCTTTAAAATTTGTATTTGTTTAAAGGCACATCTGATGATTTTCCCCTCAAACCAAAGAGTCACGCCAGCCAGCTAGCTATCTTGGAATATATACATATACGTTCAGTTCATACCTACAATAATAAAATGCAATTTAATCCTGTTTTTACAGTTTCCTGTGCGCACATGATAAATGCATTTCAAACAAAATGGAAGTCAGGTTGCCACTCAAGAACTAAGTGAGTGTAGCTTTGAAATGGGAGGTGGCAGTGCGTTCAACAGCTGCAGCGGAGAGTATTCTTGATACGGAAGGTGGCACTAAAAGGAAACTGAGCTCCAATAAATCAAAACATAAATGCAATAAAAGAAAGGTAGCTGGGTTTTGGCGACAGAATAGAGCAAGCAAATAAATCCAAAATCTAATGATTTATGGATGGGAATATGTAAAAAGAACTTAGTTAAAATAACGATTTGTGTAATTTTTATTTGGGGGATACTAGTAATTGAAACTGATTGGAAACAAAGTTAAAAGCTGGAGTTCTTGATTGCCAAAATAGGAATTGCTTGGCTGAAGTATATTTAGAAACTATGACAATTTTTTGATATAGATTGGCTTTATGGCAGCATTTAGAAGGGGTCCACCAACTTTAAAATGTAAAATATTATTCAAGACTGCCAAATATATTATTTCATTAAAAACATTCAAATATAGAACAACGGAAATTATGTAAGGTCAAGGAATTATTAATTTAGAATGTTTATGGCTAATCAAGTCTCCCTTAATAGAATTACTTTTGAATATATAGTAAGAAATGAAAAACGATACCAACACCTCTAACTCAAAATTCAAAGTGCTCGTAAGTTAACGCCAACATCAAAGAAAGTATTGAGCTTAAATATCAACATTTTATTCTTTCCTTAGACCCTAAGTAATAAACTCATGGAATGTATGTATATTCTTTCAAAGTCCTTTAATTTTTCACATATTAAAGGTTCTATTCTTAGCATATTCTGAACAATACTGCTTGCAAATAGGATTTATTGATTTTCAATATAAATATAAATATAAATATATTAGTTGTAATGTGGTTTCGTTTCAGTGCAACTTGCCAGCCAATTACTCTTGTACTCTAAGTCCTTGTTGTATTTGCAATCGTTCCAATAATAGATGGCGACCTCGCTTGGAGGCAGGATTCTGTGCATTTGCCTACAATTACATTAAATGTCACAACCCCGCCCGCCGCCCACACGCCCATCTCATCGCGTCAATTTACAGTCAATGCACTGCACTGGGCACTCTGAAAAGGACGCCCAATTTTAGCACCCACTTCCATTAGGCGCACTCTCGACGGCTGGCTCTGTGAATTGTTGCCTCGCTTGACCTTTCAGGCTGTTAATATTTATGAAAATGGCAAACGTGCAATGTACCTTGCCACACACAAACACTGACACACATACCCACCCACGTTATAGCTACAGTTCTGTCCTGCCCTGTCCTGTCCTGTCTTGCCCACAATGTCACCATTTGCCAGCAGCTTTATTTGCTGTCATTCCTATGTATATATAAGTACGTTCCGACGTTCGCTTCGTTTGCCAAATTGTCAGCGTCGTCAGCGCTAGCGTCAGTATCGTAGTCATAGCCATTGTCGTTTTTGTTGCAACAACAACGCCAGTTGTTGTAATCAAGATCTGTATCTTGTCATTTTGATTTGTCGGTATGTCTCTCTGTGTGCTCTCCTGTTGTCCTCTGTACTCAGTACTCTGCTGTGTCGGCATGTTGTGGCTGTTGTCCCGTCTGTGGCACCCACGCCAATCCACAATGGGACAAAAGGCATTCAATTGGAAAAGGAATTTAAGAAGAACCTGTTTCGAAACTAGTTATGGAATTTAATCAAACCTGCTTGGAACTAATTGAACTTAATCTTAAAAAAGTCTCCTCCTCGTTATCTCCTTTGGGCTCCTGTGTGAATCGAAATAAGAATAGAAATCGAGTTGGAACTGGTATTAAACGATTTGCGGTGAATATGAATTCGAACAAACAACCATTTTGGAAATACATATTCATGGAATTTAATGGAAGAACCGGCTTTCGTCGTAGTCAATATTCTAGTAAAATACGAATAAAATCGGTTTTAAACTATTTATGGAATTGAAGGCTATTCACTGTAATCTTCTTTGTGAATTGGACTTTGAATAGAAACCGTTTTTAACCTAAATATGGAAGTTAATTTAATTCAGATAAATAGGTTTCCTGAAGAGCCCGATTCATACAGACTGGCCCGAACTAACACAAGAAGTATTGGATGTTTACCAAGAAAATTGACATATTTTAAAATCCGAATCTATATTTAAGAAAATCTTTCGAAATTTTAAAGAAATTATTTCACTTATTATCTTTCAGGACAAAATACAACAGGTTCCATTAGTATCTATCAGCTTGATTATAACCTTAACCAGATGATCTAAAAGTTTGATAGAGTAAGCCTCATGTTAAGAGTAATTATACTGTTTTATCTGCAGTTCCAGCTTAGATTTAAGATCAGAGATCCATTCTCTGTGAGGAACTAACATATTGTGTCGACTTTTCGATCTGCTGTTCCATAGTGAGTTGTGACTTTAAATTTTTATTCGTTCACAGCTCAGAAATGTGTGCATGCACATATTGGCATATTTGCGTCTACTAGCCGTCTATTCATGCATATGTAGATGACATTTTTGGAATGCTCGCATGTTCCCGGAAACACTAGATTGGAGACAAGAGTGGCATAAAAAATGGCGGTGCCGCGCACGTCGTCTAACAATGTGTCTGTCATTTTGGCAGTAATGTTTAGTTACACTTTCGTGTATGTATGGTTTCACTGCCCAAATGTCTGTCTCTCTGTGTGCCTGCGTGTGTGTGGGTGTGTGTATGGGCAGGGAGTGGGTGGTCTAGCTGACTGGTTGGCTGTTACTCAAAACTCCAAAGGCATGACACATCAAAATGATAGCGCCACCAACAACCAACTGGCAATGAGGCAGCCAGTTAGCTTTGTAGCAAGACAACCCCACACTAATGAGCTTTTAGGGTTCAGTTGTGTGTCATGTGCCGGGCCATAGATTAAAGGATCATCTGTGTTATTGGATTTTGGTGTTGGTGTGTTGTGATAACGACTTTTATGTCAAAGCATGCCCACCAAATGGAGCATAGCAGCAAGTTAATGGAGCCTTGCAGAATGTACTTAAAATGTTAGCAGTGCTGACATCAAATACATTGAAAGGGGTTTAAGCTGAGACATATACATACATATGTGGAAGCACTTATAAAAATAATGTTGTTGTTAAGGACTTTCTTTAATCAGAGGGTTACATTGTTAAGTACTTAGATAGAGAATTGTTTCTAACAAACAGATTTTCACGTCGTTAAAAAGACGCAGTTTTCAACACACTTCTTTCTCTATGTGTGCGACGTGCAAAGAAGGGCTTAAATACATACGTTAACCGAATATTCTCAAACTTTAAGTTCCACTTAGTGTTGCTGATAAAATTAATGAACTTAATAACATCGAGTTCCCAATAAACTAGTTAATAGTTCTACTTCAGCCTAAAGGCCATATTGTAATTTAAGATTAATTGTAACTTACAATTTTCTGAATAAATAAATAAATATCATGTACTTACCAATGCGATCGAAAAGTTCCCCACCGGCTGCATACTCTAGAAAAATATACTCCACATGTCCCTGAGAGCGCTTGCCGAAGAAGCGTAAAATGTGCGTATCCTGGAGCATTTTTTGTATGCAAACTTCTTTACGAACCGAAATCACAGCATCGGGATGTTTTTTTAAATCAACCATTTTCATGGCCACAGCCTCGCCGGTCTGGCGATTGATGAGCAATTTGACTCTGCGCGATAACAAATATAGAAAGAAAAAACAAAATATAATTTAATAAATTATTTGAAGTCACAATAAAAAAGAATAATGCGTTGCAACAATTCTGGCGTATGTTGCATGTTGATTGTGCATCGACGACTGTCGCTGTTTCATATCCATTTCCATCCGCCAGGATGCTGCAGTGACTGCCGCTTTGGGACATGCGCACAACAACAATGCGCGAGCATTCCGCATATACAGCAACAAAACGGAAATGTGCGTTTTTCTTACGCCTTGCAGCATTTCCGGTTTATTGACTTCTACACGCACACACACAAACACACACACACACGCACACTTTGTTTATGCAATGGGACAGTTTTTCAAATACTACTTACTCGCCATAGGCACCTTCCCCCAGCGTTTGCGCCAATGTCCAGCCTTCAACAAATTCACGCGTTGCCGCCGCCGCACTGCCGCCCCCGCTGCTAGTCATAATGGCAGCCATGGTAAAGTGTGGCTCTTTAGTAGTGTGGCTTCTTAAAATTCACTTTAATATCCTGTTCCGTTTCCTCTGCACTGCGCTCGGCTCAGTCTCTCTGGCGTCGTCATCTGCCTGCTGCTGCATGCATAGCTAGCTGCAACATTAAAGAACAGAAGAAGCAGAAAAGTTTAGTACTAAGAATAATGCTTCGCGATTAGCTCAAAACTTTTTCAATTTCATCAACGGGCGTATATGTGTATACATTTCGCTATTTCGCAAGTATTTCGTACCCATTCACATTTACGCTTAATTTCAAATGCCACACAAACACGCACTCATACATACATACGAGTATATATATATATATATATATATATATAGTATATGCATACAAAAATGACGCGTGCAAAGAGTATGGATGCTGTTCAACTTCCTTTGAATATACATATTCGTATACATATAGTGGAAAAAAACTCGACTTTTTATGCCGCTTTAATATTTCATCCTTTGGCATGGTCATGGTTTCTGCAGCCACAACAACAACAATAGCACAAACACACTCGAATACACAAAGCTCACGCATGCGCTGTTGAGCTTTTGAGTAGCACGCTCTTGACGCAATTGAAGAGGCACAGGATATGCCGCATTCAGTTACGCACCGTGATTCGAAAGCACACAAAAAACTGGATGAACTGAACAAGAATAAATTCTCAACAAAATTCGTGTACGAATATTTAAAAAACATTTGACATTTTTTAATTTCCACTGCAATTTTAATGCAATTTCTTTAAACACAAAAGCTTCATATAAAAATTTTATTTTTAAATGATATAATTTCTATGATATAAGGACCTGTTTTGGTCGATCTTGACATACTGTATTAGAACTAAAGAATGACGGAATGACATTATAACGGCTCCACTCGTCAAGCTGTATACTGATGAAATCTTTATTTCATCGAAGTAACAAATATTTCATTAGATCGCAGATAAGTTGTATTGGCACTTTAAAAATTAAAAAAATAAAAGCAACAAAATGCGAGTATTTTGGCTTCACAAAATAATAATCATTCCAATTCTTAGACTGTCGGGTGAATGCGTGAAAAGATTCTTTTGACACCTTAATGAAATGTTATAAAATAATCTGAAAAAGTCATATTTTATAGTTGTAGCAAAGATGTTTTTTTAAATAATCGCAGATAGTATGAAAAATATATATTTTTTAAAATTAACTATGTTCCTCAGAAATAGTTGTTCGTAATCAAGTTTATTAGGAAAATTGAATTTATATCTGTACAACAAAACTCGCGTTGTGGGTGAATATTACTATGAATATTTCTCTAGCAAAGAATATCACATTTTGGTAGCCACCACTGTACGGAAAACCCATAGGGTTTTGCTAGGACATGCAGGAGCATGGGAGAGCAACAGTCGTCGTCGTCGTTATTCATATTCTAATTCAAACATGATTCCTACTGCTGTCTGCTTTAGCGCAGCATTGCCATTTTCAACGGATTGCGGCTTATATTAAACTTGTACATCGACTTCAACGACAACGTCGACATGGTCTCTGTTGCGCTGCAAAGCTTAGTAGTTTTTCTCTCATAATTTAATAGTGCCTCTCTCTTTCTCTCTCAACGCAATGACAGCAACAGCACTCGCTGCTCGCTCAACACAAATATGACGTCGCATTGCTTTGTCATGTCGTCGTCGTCGTCGACATGCTTGGCTAGCTTTGATTTGTTGCGCGACGCTTGAGCGACTCTCTGGCTGAACGAGTGGAAATGTTGCAGCAGGAGGAGGCAGCGGCTCTTGCTCTCTGAGCCTGCGTGGATGCTGTGAAATCAAATGGCGACTGCGACGTCGACTGCAACAATTACGTGCTTGTTTTATATACATACATACTATATACATACATATATATATATTTTTTTTTTTGCCAACTTCGTTTTTGCCGGTGGTTGCCCATGCGGCGTGTAAAGAGTCAAAGCTTGTTATATATGTATGTATATGTAAGCTTGTAAAGGCGTCGGCGTCGAAGTTGTTGTTGCTGCTGCGCTGCTGTTGCTGTTGCTTGGCTTGTTCAACAGGCCACTATTAAAATTTTTATTATACATTCAACAGTGGAATTTTTTTCTTCTTTTTTTCAGTACAGATCCACACCACACGCATGTGAGACATGTGAGACTGTATAAGAGTGCGCGTGTGCGTATTTTTCGCTTCCTTTTTCACGTTCAACTGCAGCTTCCTTGCTATTTTTAGGATGCGGAGTATGTGTGTATGTATGCATGTCTAGAAATGCCATATAAAAAAAGAAGCAGAATGAGGCAAGTTAGTTGTTGCCATCTTGGGGATTTTCAGCATTTAGTTTTGACACCTTGTGTGCCTTATCAGCGGCAAACACACACAAGCACACACATTGTACCCCAATAGTCCCAACGATATCAATTTTATGCACAGCGCAAAGCGTTAAATAATTGAAAACTTTTAAAATTAGTTTTAAATTTTAAATGCCCGTCTATTCTTTCTATCCCAATTTTGTTGATGTTTATCTGTTATGCAAATTGAATTTAAAGCTTAGGCTTATACGCATTTATATATTTTGTACAAACAGTCGAAATCGGAATACTTGTATGTATTCGTGATTGTTTGTGTGTATACTTTTAGGCGCACGCTTATGACTTCGGTTTTTTTTTTGCTCATCCTTGTTGCTGCTGGGTATTTTATTTTTTTGTTTAGCAATTTCATTTGCATGAAAGTTTATCTTTTGTTTTGTTGTTGTTATTGTGGCTGTCAGAGGCAAAACACAAAACTTTTTATGGGTTCAAAGTTCTAGCCAACTGTCTGCATCCTGTGTGTTTGTGTTCGTTAGTCTGTCGACCAGTCACTCCGACAGGCCGACAGGTAGTCAATTTGTTGGGCAAATTATGAAATATGATTTAGATTATTCATACGCACGTTGACCAGCACACAGGAGCAGTGGCAAGCAGGACCTTTTTGTGACAGCTTTGTCTATCTTGCCCGATGCGGATGATGATAATGATTGAGCATAATGTTTTATAAACGAGCAACATGTGTAAGACCTTAAGCCTAATTGTTGAATAAACCAAAGCCTTCAAGCGACATGTGCATAACAGCGAGTTTGTATGACAAACTTATGCACGCACGTGGAAAACTCTTTTTCAAAACTCGCAACAAAAAAACGGTAGAAAACTTCTCTGAAAGTTTGTCAAGTTTTAAGCTTAACTTTTTCTCATACTAAAAAACTTTTCCATCCACTTTTGGCATGTCTGTCTATTCTTTGAGATATCAAAAATGCACCGACGACAACAACAAAAGAGGTGATGAGAAGCTCGAGTTGTTGTAGATAATGCCATGCACTTAAAGCAATTTCCTGATACTGCATTCATATGTGGAATTTAGTTCAAAGTTTAGACTTCAAACATTTTAACAACTCAAAAGTATTATGAATGTCATTTCTTGTTTTCAAATTTAAATACGTATGTAGTTGTTGCAGAATGAATCTACCTCAAAGGATTTCTTAAGTTTTATAAGACAGTTGTCAATGATCTGATATTATTTAAATGCACTTTTTTGTAGTGGCAGCATTAAAATATAAAGTCTAGGCATCTGCCATTCCCAAAAGACTGTGTTTAGTATACAGTTTCATCCACTTTTAAATTGATCATCAATATTATTTAAATACATTCTCATTTACTAATTTTTAAATTTATTTATTTAAGCTTAAAAGCACAATCAATTGGTTTACATCATTCTTTAGGAATGTTATTGATGGCCTTCTTTAGAGCTCCCCACAATGTACTGTGTCATCTTTAATTTTGTTTACCTTTTAAATATCTAAACATGACATTGTTAAATTCAACATGCCAAGCGACGAAATCCTTACATGCCTTTCATAAATTTTAAATGAGCAGTGTGAAATAAATTTTCTCGCCTTTCTGTAAGTCACTCTAATTTCTGACGAAGCAATTTTCCTCACTCATACACACACACATCTATTGTTTAGATTATTATAAATGATTTTTGGCATGACGGACAACACACAACAAGTCATAAAATGTAACACTTTCCCAACTCACAGACTTGCCAATTTTCATTAAAATGTTCACACACGACCTTCGCACAAAGATGCAATTTGATGATATGAATATTTCTAGCTTGTTGGAATAGCGTACGATCACGAATTTTGGGGGCATCTCCATTCCGATGGGCAAATTGTGGCTTCAATTCAAAGTATATAATATGTATATATTGCTTATGAAGTTTACTTAAAGTACGCAAGAAAATTAGCTTTGCCCCGAGCAAGGAACAGTCGAGCTAATCCCACGGACTGTTGCTCCGGGCCCTCCGTGCTCGAGGAGCAAACCTAGCGAAATCCTAAACAAACAAGCGCCAAAGCAAAAATCAAATAAAATTCAAGAGTCAAACGAAGCGCATACACATGAAGAGTCAGAAGAGCCACAGTCAGGCGGCAGTGGGACAGTCAGGCGGGCTGGGTAAGTCGACCATTGAGTATGAAGCGTGTTGGTTTTCTTGCCGGTTTGCAAACACACATACACACCCAGACGCATGGACGGACGGATGGGCACACACGCATAGCCATTTTCACGGCTTAGTTGCATGGCAAAAAAGCGAGTGAAGCTGAAGAAGTCACTAGAAGGCTGCACACACACACACACACGTATTTGGTAATGCAGGCGTCCAAAACTAGTCACAGCCGCAGCCCATTGTTGAGCGGCAATGAAGGGAGAAAAATGAGGGACACTATGGTTGGTTTGATAAGTTGTAGAGAATAAATTTCAAGTCTCAAGAACAAAGATTTACATAGTTATATCTAAATATAAAATTAGATGTACTCGTATGATCCAAAAACGATACATTAATTAAGATCATTCCATTTTAGATTTGTTAGTTCTTAAATTCCATAAGCGACTGAAATTGAAATGAACTCATGAACCAATCTTCTATTAATTGAATCTTCAATTCAATTTTGTTCAGCTAACATTTGTTCCTTTAGTACTAAAATGTATTATTTTATCAAAATTAATTAAATGAAATGATTCAAAAACGTACTCAGAAGTTATTCATAATTTTTAATTGTTTGAATATTGCAAAATATGGAGTCGAACAACAC